GCGGGTGGAACTCGGCTGAGGTGATCACCTCCGTAAGCTCCTCCATGTTAGTGGGCTTGATGTCAACGATATTAAAAGACTGATCTGAGATGTCCAAGTTCCACAAGTTGATGCGCAAGTCGTCCAGCGATAGGTATGTCTCCTGGTCAGAGTTGACCGAAATGGAGTTGATGTGGTAAGCGTGGGCATTGGAGTAAATTTTTTTCGGCTGTGCCAGAATCAACTTGTCGTGGAAGGTCGTTTTCGGTAAACGCAAGTCTCCAACGTTGGTTTTGCCAGACGGTAAGTGGTCCAAACCGTTCAAGTTATTCTCGCTGACGAGACGCACCTGTCTCTCCATGATCTTCCACAACTTAATGGTTTTGTCATTGGTCGATAAGAGGTACAACAGGTTGTTCAGAGAGCGCAACCATTGGATCTTGTTGATCTTCTCCTCAACCTCCAACGACTTGAGGTAATCAAACTCCGCATCGTGACTTTGGAATTCGGTAAAAAATTTATACTCGCAGCTATTCTTCTTGCTGCCATTCCTCTCAAACAACACCACACGGCCACCCTTATCACCGGTGGCCAAGAACGTGCCCGTGCTGTCGAACTCTACTGTGGAGATAATGTCGGCCTCGGTGATGTTCTCGATATCGCCCTTATCGCCGAAGCATTGGGAAAACTTCCAATTATGGTCCATTTTGTCTTTCGTCTTGCTGCTCTTATCGGCACTGGATCCTGTGTTTCCTTCTATGATTGTATGGGGATTGCGCCAGATCGGTCAGGTCTGAGGGGGGAATTCTCAATTTGGCCGATTGGCTGAATGCTGGTCCTATCAGTCGTGTTACGCCCAAAATGATACAATGAATTGGGCCGCTTTCCAGGGCTTGCGGATACAATTGGCGTTGGTGTGGGGGGTGTAAGGAAAAAAGGGTGGTGTTCGCAAACGAAACTGATGCCGCTATATTAGCAGCGAGACAGCGAAGACAGGACAAAAAAAATTGCAACGCTACGCTGTGGAGGTGGACAAACACCTGTACACCGCCTTATACCAGGCAATCTTTCCCCCCTTGGGTGATTCCACCAATTCTTACGAGATTTATTCTTGGATGATTTCCTGGTAGAATTGGGAGGATGGGGAATTACGAGGGTTCCAAAAATACTACTTGATAAGGTGTGCTGGCTGAAAGTCGTATATCACTTCTCAGTCTACCATGGCAGGGCATTTAAGTAGCTACAGAGTCAACCGAGTTTTTGCTATTTTAATCTGTTAAGATGATTTACAAGCGCAATTAGGTAAAGGTTTTCAATGGCTTTTTTTTTTTTCGCTTTGTTGGACAGGTGTTGTCTAGACCGTTGACCAGGATAGCGCCTCGTGCTGATTGGCGATGAGAAAAGTACTTCTTTGGTGCTGGAAGAAATTCATTCCATGGTGCTGATTATCAAAAATGTGATGGCGAACGATGACGTACTTTCGAAAAGCGACGATTCCATTTGCATTGTGTACTATAGTAACACTTCAGATACCTGTCAAAGCCCTATGCCGATCTCTTCGCTACAAACGGGTTTCCAACGTCCTTCGTCGTGAAAACCGTCGCCTCTAGTCATTCACTTTTTCGTCATCAGTGAAGGCTATTTGTTCTCTTCCACTCCTTCGTCTACAACTGGGTTCGATAGATATTTTATGTATGATTACTGCTATTCATGATGTTTAGGCGGCCTTCTTGGCAGCGTCGGCAGGAGAGACCTTTCTGTCGGCGGAGAATCTCTTTCTCTGAGGAGGAGTTCTGATTCTTCTGTCGGATCTAGATCTGACTCTGACGATTCTGGCGTGAATGGCACAAGAGACACAGTAGTGCAACTTGTTGTACAACTTTGGCAAGGCGTACTCCTGGTAGACGGAGGCCTCAGACAAGTCTCTCACGGCAGCAGCCTCGACCATGTTTCTGATGGTGACTCTCTTGATGGCCTTGTCCTTTGGCACACATCTAGCGCAGTTCAAACATCTGACTGGCTTGACGTGACCTCTGCCCTTCTTGTTTCTACCGTTGGAAGCTCTCTTCTTTGGCATCTTTCTGTTAGTAAAATTGTTGAGATTTTGGATGGGGAGGAAACGATGGCTTTATATCATTTTCGGTGTTCGGTGTTCGGTCTTCAGGATGCATATGTGGCCCACATATCGCTTGCATGGTCATTCATTTATTGTCCGTTTGTGATATCCATTCTTAATTCCTTGTTCTATGGTCGATCGAAACATACCTTGTGTTTGGTAAGGAAGATAGGAATAATAGAATTGGAAAATTTTTAGAGACTGTGAGCGAGCAACGGAGTGCAGGCCTGGTTCCAGGGGGTACGGGGTTTTGAAGCGCGAAGGACCAATATGTATCACGTGCGTAGGGCTCCAGCCCTCGTGACTATGCTGTACCGCAGAGATATAACTTTAGAGTGGGGAATATGCTTCTTTCAGACGAACAAGTCCTGCTGTTGCAATGGAGCTTGGTATCATTGCAAGAAAGGTATGGCAAAAGTCGGTTTTGCATGTGTTCGACCTCTGTAGCACCTCAGGTAAGAGAAATTTATTGTTTGAAAAAGACCTGTTGAAATGAAATTGAATTCTTAAAATGTCATCTCATATGCTTTTCAGTTCAAAGCTGATGCTTTGTTTCAAACTTTGGTAGTTAGGCTGACCTCATGGGGTATCCTGATTGGTACCAGGGTGCGATATGCAGCCGTTTCAGTCTCTCATACTGGTCAACCATCTACGCATTCTCTAACATCAAAATTTCACTTATATTGAATTTGGTCACTACAGCGTTAAAGTTATGCATTTAAACTTCGAAATGTGCTTTTGAAAATTATTTTCGTATCGGGCTTATCTCGATCATCTTTCGCAGCCAATCGGAGACGCTAGGGATAGAATGCTCCCGGACACTTTAATGTAAAACTGTTTATGTCATGTTCCCAAGACCCTCTCCAAAATTAGAAATACATATTTTGTAGAAACAGAGAGCCAACCATTTCGAAGTAATTGAATCATTCGACTCTTACACGTGCTCCTATCGCACGTGACCAAGAGCCAATGAAGCGTCTTCCTTTCTATGCCTCGCCAGTTAGCTGATTTTTTCGAAAACATCACCACCTCACTTGGGTTTAAACGCTAGAGAAACCCTTCTCCTTACTACTATATCCACAGCAAAATGTATGTTTCACTACACCACATCGCCAAATTTGCCTAAATTTTGCCGAATTCCAACGCCATTCCAGCTGGCCGTTATCTTATCTGAGACAATGAGCAAAATACTTCACTCAATTGATACGAGAGCAAATACACCCATGAACACCTTACTAACTCACAGGCTTTCCCGCACGTTTGTCCGCTCACTTGCCCAGCCTACTAGAATGGCTACCCAGCCAATCAGAATGGCCAGAGGCATCTCTACATCTAGAATACTCCTCCAGACCAAGGTCCAGGAAAGCAAGATCCAGGAAAAGCACATCACTGCTGAGACCATCCACGATGTTACCGGTCCAGACTCCTCTTTGATTGGTCCAGGTGCCCAGCCAGGTACCATCCCAACCGACATGGACCAGGCCACTGGTTTGGAGAGATACGAAATCTTGGGTAAGCGTGAAGGTATCGATGTCTTCGACATGGAGAAGCCTATCAAGGAAGGTAGCGGTACTTTGGCCGACCCATTCTTGGTTCCAACTTACATTGGCTACCGTTACGTTGGCTGCAGAGGTAAGGGTGGTGAGGACCACAAGGCTTACTGGATGAAGGTTGAAGAGGGCGAGCCTGCCAGATGCTGGCACTGTGGTACGGTTTACGCTGCCAAGTACTTGGGTGAACCCGGCCACTCGCACCACTAAACCTTGATACAGACTGCTAGACAGACGACATGGCATATATATTCAGGCACTGCCATCGGTAATTAGGCATATCCGGCCCTCATTCGCCGGCATAAACGAAAAAGACGATACCTTGTGTAGATCCTGCTTGTTGCATATATAGCAATTTAGAGCGATATACAGAAGATCAAGATACTTATCATCTAGACACGGTCAGCATGTACAGAAATGAATCAGTCCGTGAAAAGGTGATTTTTATGAAAGGTGGATGAGGTTCAGAGTTCAATGTAGTAGCTGCAATTCTAGTAAGTATCGCTTAGGCAAGGATTCGTGGAAAGTATGTCCAGCCTCTTCTATCATCGAAGCATTCTTGGGTATGAAATCTCTGTGCTAGTGTGTTCAGCTCAAAATCGTAATATATTCGTCTTTAGATAAGACATTTCAGATAACTATTTTGCCCAACATCGATTGAACTATAACTTGGATTCATGACTTGGATGTCAAATTTCAGATTGACACTCCTGATGAACCATGAAGCATTGCAACAATCTTCAATACTCGCCGAAACTCTTATTGCTGCTTAATTAGACAGACATAGTCAACGACAATTACGAATTACAAAGTTTTGACGTCTGTCAAAAGCTTTGCTGCAAAATGTCTAAATGTCTACCTCCACAGTATCTCAGATGAAATCACGCCTTGCTCGCATGTACTTTCCTCTAAGTAATTAGACTTAATCGCTTTGCGTCCACGAGATCTCTCTACCTCTTGACATCATAGTAGTTTCTAAGCCCGAAATGTATTCCGAAGTTTATTCTGGAGCTTTCCGAGTAGCCAAAAGAAACCGGAATTTTTCACTGTCGATCCTCTCCACTTCGACTTCTAGAGCACCATGGTGGTCTTGGGGTGCGGCAATTTGACCTACTATGCGGCTCTCATATTGACATTTTCAACGTCAACGACAAAATCACAACTAAAACTTAACAATCACAGATTCCTCGTTTTTCAAATCGTATTCGCCGGTGTCTTTGGATGTAAATCCTGAGCTACCAGGTGCATGGCATCTAAAAGGTTAGATGGTGGGGGAGTGCCGCATCGCTCTGTACTGCTTGTTATAAGTAGGTGGATTCCGTGCTACATGAAAAGTTTCACCACAGTTTACCACAATGACAAAACCAAAGGTTTTATTCATCGGCGACTTGAACAAAGACTTGCCTGAATACGCCCAGTTTATCAAGAAGGTTGAGCCGGTTTTCTACGAGTTGCCTGACTCCAAAGAGCAGGTGATCCAGGATTTCAGAACCAAGTTCAATGATATCCAGGCGATATACGGCGCCTGGTTGGGTTTTGTGCTCCTTGGAGGATTCACTGGAGAGATTCTCGAGGCAGCTCCAAAGTCCTTGCGTGTTGTTTCCATCTGCTCTGTGGGCTTCGAGCCTTACAATGGCGCCAGAATGGCTGAGAAGGGCATCATCTTGACCAACGTTCCTTCCGACGGTGCTTCCAAGCCTGTGGCTGAACTCGTCTTGTACAACGCCTTGTGTGCCTTTAGAAACTTTCCTGCTTTCACCACTACCTTCACTGCAGACATCAACCACACCGTGCAGATGAGAAAGCTTCTTGATTCCAACAAATTCGACTCTGAAAAGGGGAGATGCCACCTTGATGCCGTCCACGGCTACTCCTTTGGCCACTACGCAGGCGGAAGACCATGCTTGAGTCCTAATGGCCACAACGTCGTCATTGTGGGTTTTGGAAACATTGGTCAGACAATTGCAAGCTACTTGCTGAACGTGGGAATGAACATTCACTACGTCAAACGTTCTCCATTGTCCAAGGAGCAGGAAGCCAGCTTGGGTTTCCCTGTTCACTACCACAAGACTCTCGTGGACGCCAGAGAGGCCGCCGACCTTGTGGTCATTGCCTGTCCTGGAACTCCTGAAACATACCACATGGTAAACTCTGAGGTCATTGACGCTATGACCAAGCCTTTCAGAATCATCAACATTGGTAGAGGTCCTGTAATTGATGAGCAGGCTTTAGTCGACGGCCTCAAACTGGGCAAGGTCTTGTTCGCTGGACTTGACGTCTTTGAGGGCGAGCCACAGGTGCACCCCGACCTTTACAACCGTCAAGATGTTGTCTTGACGCCTCACATCGGTGCCTCTACCAAGGAAAACTACGACTACACTGCTGTGATGGCCATGAAGAACATTGAAAACGTGTTGCTTGAAGGTGGGGAGGGCATCAGCAAGGTGAATTAGTTTCAAGATGTTGACGTTTTGTAACTATGAACGATCCAGTGGCTGATGTAACAGATAAGTAATGGCTGCAAACGGCGCAGCATTTAAATAGAGAGCCACACCGACAATAATACAATTTCACAAATTGCAAGGTGAGTTTTTCTTGTCCAGTAAATCTTTCAAAACAATTTGGACAGAATGCTGGTGAAAGTAATAATATTGTGGTATCGCGTGCTTTCGGACCGAGAAAGGTGCTGGTAACCGCTCTATCTAACTCGCAGTGCATGTTAGGTGGCCTCTCCTATTCCACCCAAGCAATTGCACAAGCACAACACAATCTATGTAGTAAAGCTATTTGATGTTCAAGTTGAATCACAAAGATGAAGAATGTTACGATATTTCCATAAATCATCGCCATTTCACTTTATCCTCCGTAGTACCCACAGCGAACCGAACACGAATTGTGCCACAAACCCGACCACACATTGTAACTATCATTTCCAAAATTCGAATTTCTAAAAACCCATCCACAATTCTCTTCCCTCGACAATTGAAAATTCACTAATTCCCATCCAATCTGGCACGGCACCAACCGGCGCAACTTTGTGTGCGCAACTCAACCATTTCTCAACCTCAACGTTGATCGTTACACCCGACCCCAGAGATCAAGGTTAGAGCAAAATGGCCTCGCTCTACATCGGCGTATACAAAGCCTTGTATGACTACCCAGCGCAGGCCGAGGAAGAGCTCACTATCCAGCAAGATGATTTGCTATATTTGCTTGAAAAACTGGACATAGATGATTGGTGGAAAGCCAAGAAGAGAGTGCTCCCTGTGGGCGACGAGGAGGTGGAAGAACCCGTTGGTCTTGTTCCGGCCAATTACATAGAGGTTGCCCCTGTGGTGAAACAGTGCCGGGGTCTCTACGACTATGATAAGCAGACCGAGGAAGAACTCAGTTTCAAGGAGGGGGACATTTTCAACATCTACGATTTGAATGATCCCGACTGGCTTCTTGTTGGAGATGCTTCAAACAGCAACTTTGGCTTTATTCCTGCCAACTACATTGAGCAGACGGGTAATGCTCTGGCCCAACCCCAAGCTCAGGCCGTTTCTGCCCCTGCTGCTGATCCAACTCCAGCCAGGCAACAACTCCCAATTTCGGCATTTGCTCCACCTCCCGTGCATAAGGATAGAACACCAGTTCTGCTGGCTGAGCCAGAGGAGGTGAAACAGCCAGAGAGACCAGTGGAACAGATACAACCCGTCGATAGAGCCCCAGCTAGAGGCAGAGAACCAGAGGAAGACGATGAAGACGACGATGAGTTTGAAGATGCCCTTCCCCCACCAATGCCTACACGTCCTAGTGGAGGAGCTAGTGAACCTAGAAGAGAACGTCCACCCCTGGAGCCCACGACCCCTTCTCGCAGAGAGTATGCGGTCGACCTGCCTCAATCACCACCTAAAGAGCATAACTTTGACGGTGAGTACTTCCGCTGGTACATTGACGAAGTTGACGGCAGAAAGAAGCGTCCAGTTGTGGTGTCTGTGGGTAATGGTTTGATCATTCTCAAGCCCAACACGCAGAACCCCAAGAAATTGCGTCTTCGTTCGGCGCTGAGTCTTGACAACAATTGGAGAATTAGAGATCTAGAGCTGTTTTCTCATGAAAAGAAGCACGTCTTCTTGAAATTTCAGAACCCAGATGCCGAGATCGAATTGCACGCAGGCAGTAAGGATGTTGCCGAGGCAATCATGGCTGTTTTGGGTGACTTGAAGGGTGCTGAGAACCAAAAGGGATTGCGTGAAGTTGCCAGAGCGGCACTGACAAGAACTTCCTCATCCAACAAGAAGGTCGGTGTGCTCATGTATGATTTCGAATCGCAGGGCAGCGACGAGTTGGCGTGTAGAGAGGGCGATGAGGTGCACATTTTGGATGACACCAAGTCAAGAGAATGGTGGATGTGTGAACGTGTTTCAAATGGCAAAAGGGGTGTTGTTCCCTCGAGCTATATCGAGATTCTAGGCACCACAAACTTGGACAAATTGACTGATGGCCCCTCCAGACGCAAGTCCCAAAAGTCCTCCAGCAAGGGCCGCGTTGTGGACAAGAAACTGAGATATCATAGCCGTGACGAGAGAGATAAGATCAGAGAGAGCGATAGAGCACGCAGGGATAAGAGATCAAGTTCCGGAGGCGATGATAAAGATATGCCAAACTACCATCGCGTTAGAACCTGGATTGACAGCACTGGCTCGTTTAAGGTCGAAGCTGAGTTCTTGGGATGCATGGAAGGCAAAGTTCATTTGCATAAAACAAATGGTGTGAAAATCGCTGTGGCTGCCACCAAGTTATCTATTGAGGATTTGGAATACGTCGAGAAAATCACCGGCACCTCGCTTCAGCACTACAAGGACGAGGTCGCTAAGCACATGGCAAAGAGAAGCAAGGATAGAGGAACTCACTCTTCCGGGGTCTCTCCTGCAAAGACCTCCTCTGTCGCTGCAATCAATGATATTGCTCCTCCTCAGCCATCAAGACCTAAAGCAACTACTGGTACCTCGCTGGGCGAGCCAGATTACGACTGGTTCGACTTCTTCCTCACTTGTGGGGTTGATATTGGTAACTGTCAGCGCTATTCAATCAACTTTGCGCGTGAGCAGATGGACGAATCCATTCTTGAGGATATTACCCCATCTTTGTTACGTTCTCTTGGTTTGAGAGAGGGTGATATCCTTAGGGTTATGAAGCACTTGGACAATAAGTATGGAAGACAGAAGACAGGTGATGCTCCAGCCTCATCCGGTGGTCTTTTCACGGAAGCCACTGGTGCTTTGAAGAATAACAGCTCAACTGAGATTTCAAAGGTTGACGCTAGCGCTCTTCCAGCTCCATCGCCTCAAAAAGAGAAGGAGGATCCTATCAGCAATAAAGCTGGCAACAAGTTCGAAGACGACGCCTGGGCCGTCAAGCCAGCTGCTCGCTCGAACGAGGACTTCACTCAGACTCAGACTCCATCGAAGCCTCAATATACTGGTTCTTTACAGGATCTTGTCGACATCAAGCCATTGGAGGCCAACAAACCTCCTCAGACTCCTTCCAAGGATACTCCACTGAGTTTACCATCTGCTCCTGCTTTGACTCCGTCCAAGACCGCTGCTCTGTCGGCTCAGCCAGCCCAACAGAACCAGACTGCTCAAAACCAACCTACTGGCTTGGTCCCTCTACAAAAGACTGGTGGACAGGCCCCTCTTGTCCTTGTACGTACCGGTGGACCTTTTGTTCCAATGCAAACCGGTGGCTACATGACCGCTCAGCCAACGGGATTCATGCCAATTACTGCCCAGCCAACTGGCTTCATGCCTATTCAGCCCACCGGTTTAGGCCAACAACAAACATCTGGTATGCTTCCTCTTCAAACCGGTCAAATGCAGCAGCTTCGCCCAGCTCCACCACCACCAACTTCTTTTGGCCAGATGCCATTGCAGCCCACAAGCTCATTTGTCCCCTTGCAACCCGGTAATGTGACGATGCCTCAAACCACCTTCGGACAGCAGCCGACTGGCCAGGGCCAACAGCCGCAGACGTCTTTCGGCCAACAGCCACAAACGACCTTTGGACAGCAGCCAACTGGAGGCTACGGTCAACAACCACCAACAACATTCAGCCAGCAGCCTACTGGAGGATACAATCAGCAACCGCCCACTACATTTGGCCAACAGCTAACTGGCGGCTTTGGCCAACAGCAAACCAACTTTGGTCAGCCTCAAACCTCATTCGGTCAACAGCCACAGCCCTCGTTTGGTCAGCAGCCTCAGACGTCATTTAGCCAGCAGCCAACAGGAGGCCAATTAGGCAGTCAAACTACCGGTGGATTAAACAAGTTCGTACCTCAATCTTCGTTTGGCAGACAAATCACTGGCGGTTTGATGCCCCAAACTTCCTTTGGCAATCAAGCCACAGGTGGTATGCCCAACACCTCGTTTGGAGGTCAGGCGACTGGAGGCTTCCCCCAAACTTCCTTCAGCAACCAGCCCACGGGTGGGTTCCCTCAGACTTCATTCGGCCAGCCTTCTGGAATGCCACAAACACTGTTCGGCGCTCCTCAGCAGCAACAACAGCAGCAACAACCATTTGGTCAATTTGGCCAACCTCAACAGCCAGGTATGGACCAGATGACCAACATGTTCCAAAACACATCTATTGGGGGTAACTTCCCACAACAACCACAACAGCAGCAACAGCCTCCGACAACGTTCGGTCAGAACTTTGGCCAGAATCAATTCGAAGGTTTTGGCGATCAACCATTGCAGTCGCAGCCTACGGGTCTCGGTTTCGGTAATGCTCCATTGCAGTCACAGCAGACCGGCAGAAGAGCCAACTTGCAGGCCGCCACTGCTGATAATCCTTTTGGCTTTTGAGTCTAGAAATGTATAAATAAAAGTTTGAAATGAGTTTGAGGATCCCCCCGTAGCTGATAAATTAGCGCTTTCCTCGAGAGCTTAAGCGAGGAGGTGCGTCCTGTTTCACCTGCGTAAGCGGCTGCAAAAAAGTGCCCCCCAAATTATAAAAGTCGGCCAATTCCCTGATTTTCTCTCACTATGTTCACCTATTACATTTTTGCAGAATTCTTCCTAATTTATGGCGATGGACTCATCCAACGTCCATGGATGGGTAATCTTGACAACATCTTCATTGTCTTCAACTCGTTCTGCCTGAGGAAGAAAGAGATGTTGGCTTGTTCAAGAGAAGAATTTCAAATCCAAATTGAGAAATTCAATTGCCTTGTCAACAACGCTTTGGAATTCAGAAAGACCCATAAGCATCCGGGTCTTGAGCTCGTTTTTATCAATAAGTTGAAACTTGAGTTCTTCAAAAGACTAGTTGACGGGGAGGAGACACCAGCCTTTGTTCCTTCGACTCCAGAAAGATCAAACTCAATCAACGAAAGGTTAGCAAAGCTTTTTGGTCCAAGGGAGGTTCAGAAAAGTCATCTGCTCATTGATGGTGATTCCTCAGAGATTTGGAAGTTAGTAGGGAAACCTACAGCTTGCCAGAACCTTGCTATCGAACGCGCTAAGCAGATAACGGTTAGAAGGGCATTTTATGAAGCTTGCGATGACGCTGAACATAGTCAAACCCTTGCCAAGTTGTGCTTCAACACTCGTAGCTTTGGCCTGAGTGTGCTGGATTTGCCTTCCAACGCCAAACTTCGCAAGATCATCAATACAAATCGAACCCAATTATCAAAGGCTCTTTACAATTGTCAGAGACAGAAAGTTCATTATTTGCCTTTGATAACGAGCTCTACGGATATGACTCTTGGCAATTGTTCTTACTTGGATACATGTCATAAGCTCAAAAGCTGTCGCTACCTTCATTACTATACCTTGCAACCTCAACAACAGGAGAATGACACATTGCCTAGCGAACTTGCAGAGCTTGCAATTGACTACACAATTGGAGAGCCTGGCGTTGTTCTTCCCGAATTGCCTCCTCAGTGGATTAGATGTGATGTACGTCTGCTCCCATTCCCAATTTTGGGCAAATTCGCTGCAATCATCTCGGACCCCGCTTGGGATATCCACATGTCTCTTCCTTATGGAACATGCAAAGATGCTGAGCTCTTATCATTGCCCATGCATGAGCTCCAAGATGAGGGAATCCTCTTTTTGTGGGTCACTGGCAGATCTATCGAGATAGGTCGTAAGGCCCTCGCTCAATGGGGATACACCATTTCCGATGAAATGATCTGGGTCAAGCTCAACCAACTTAGAAGAACCATTGTGACAGGCAGAACGGGCCATTGGTTGAACCATTCGAAAGAAAACCTTATTGTTGGGATAAAAGGCAATCCGCAGTGGCTAAACAGAAAGATTGACCTTGACTACATCGTGAGTGGCACCAGAGAAACCTCTAGAAAGCCAGATGAGCTTTACGACATAGTCGAGCGCCTTGTTGGTAAACATGCTCGGAAACTCGAGATCTTCGGCCGCGATCATAACATCAGATCGGGATGGTTTAGTACGTGTATTGTGTCATATTCATATATCATCATACTAACATACAGCAATTGGGAACCAGGTAACAGGTACCTCAATCCACGAGAAAGAAGTCTCTGAAAAATATGAAGAGTACTTGCGTACTGCCAAATCAGAGAATGTGCTGTGAGCAACTCAGGTTGCCTTCTTCTTCTCCTTTTCTTTTTTGTTCATCTCCATAACCAACTTACCAGCTTTGTTATCCATATTCTTCTTGATATCCAACTTGTAGCCTAAGGCAAAAGCAACCTCGAATACAACAAAGAAAGGGGCAAGTACTAGAGCTTGAAGCAAGTTGTCCATCAAGGCAGGGGCTCTCTTCTCATGCACAGCATGTCCATAAAACTGGGCCAACCAGCAGACGATGTGAATGCCCAAAGCGATTTGAGTGAATTGTGACTGGCTGATTATTGACTCGGGACCCAAGCTGAGATAGAAAGACCTAATGAAGTAGGCAAAGGTTACCAAAACTCCGAAGCTAGGAATACCGAGCTGCCAGTCCAAGATAGCATAGTATAGTCCATAAGTCCATGCCACTATCGATCCGGTGGAGATATATGGATGGTCCTTGCCGAGGATTGTCGTTCTTGTGGCCAAGGCAATCGCAGACAATAGAATCAATGGAATGCAGCCCAAATGGATGGCAACGTTTTTGTGGTTGAAATGGTATTTCCGATAGAACACAAGCTGGCTTTCAAGATCTAAAGGTCCCCCTGGCATCTTTGGTATTGTTGTTTGAATAGAGGGATACGGGATTCTTAAGTACTTTAGCGAGTGGGGTAATGCACAATGTCTAAGTGGAGGATATCTCCGGATGTGTGATGGCTTTACGCGAAAGCTCCGTAAGCATATACCATTTGAATTCATTTTTTATTTTCAAATCTATATTCATTTTCTTAAACCCTCAAGTCCAAAGCGGGCTTCTTCACGGCCCTCACCCTCTTGTTTGCCCCGGAAGTTCCTCTCTCAAAGTCGGCTGCTGCCTTGGGTTCTCTACCAAGATTATCAAGATCCTTGACCTTGTAGATTCTCACAATCCAGTTTTGCGACGTGAAAGCTTCCTCTACAGTGTCAAGCGTGATGGGGTCCGAGGGAATGACTTGTCCACGAGCTCTGTCCTGCGCCTCTCTGCCGCCGAACAATTCGGCGAATCTGTAGTAGGACATCTTGTACATCATGGAGTTCTTCATGGTTTCCGAGGCATCCTTGTCGACCTTGTACTCACCTCTGGTACTGAAGTAGTCTCTTTCGTGGATCTCATCGGGCCAAATACCTTCGGAGATCCTCACCATCCAAAGGAACTTATTCATATCGTCACCGGAGTATCCCAATACACCACCGAAAATAACGAGCACATAATCGACATCATGCTTTTTCAAAATCTCGTATGCGTTCTCTTCGTTGGTGGCCATTGCCTTACCCACAGTAGCGATATGAGTGTTGTTCCAAGTGTTGTTGTCAACCAAGGTGGTTCTGTCGGCCATACCACCAATTTGGTAGCCGTAATCCCACCAGGCCATGACCTTGGCATCCTCTGGAGTGTTCATTCTCAACCAGTAGTAGGCCTCTCTGTAGTCGTCGATGATGTTTTGAGTGCCATCTGGATTACGTGAGGCCAACACCACAGAAGGTGAGGAGTAGGCATGAGAAGTCACCCAGGTACAGTGCAACACGAAGAAGACAAGGTAGTACACGAATGAAGCCAACACGACACCCTTGCTGAGAAGCTTGAAGATGGGGAATTGTTTGCCTTGCTTGGCGGGTCCCTTCTTCTTCTTCTCAGAGACCTCCTCGACGGCAGCCTCGGAGCCGAAAATGTCGGATACATCCATGTAAACATCGAACAACTTGGACAATGCAATGGCAGCGGCAACACAAACAACTGGGGTCAAAGTCAACATCAATCTAACCATAACACCAGCGAAGTAGGAACCAAGGACACCATAAATAATAATGAAAAGGTGCTCGTCACGCATCTCCTGGAAGCAGAAGAATACACCTGCTGGGAACAACCAAATCAACATGTTAGTGTCGAAAAAGAATGCGGGCCATGCGGTAGGTTGATGCTCAGAGACAGACGCAATGATTGGGATATGAATCTTGGCGTAATTGGTGTCCCACAAAGAGTAAAATCTACCAGTCCATGGCGCAATCCAGCCAGCGGCAGTCAAGGCGGTCAAACCAGCCACACCCAAAAGGGTAGTGAAGAAAAGAGACACGGTCAAAAACACCTTGAACTGAGCGGTGGGGACGTTTGAACGAACGTAGGCACCAAAAGCAACCAACTGCAACAAACCAAAGACACCCAATGCAGCCATATGGTCGTTCGAGCGGATAGGCAAGAAACCAACAAAAGGAATCTGCATCGACGCGATAGTTCCCAAGGCATACCATGTGGTGTAGGCAGTGTACAAGCGGTGGTTATAACGACCCATCAAGATCAACACAAAAACGTGCAATGGGATCAAGTTGGTGATGAAAACGTAACCACCCCATGCAGACACCATGTAGAAGTACGACAAGGCAGTCAAAGTACCGTAGAAAATGGAGCCAACCTTCATGGCTTTGATCCACAAGTAAAATGTGGCCATGAGCAAGGTGATAGCAATAGCCTCGTTATCATATGAGCCTGCCACGGAACGAGAGATGTAACCTGGGGCGATACCCATGAAAATGGCGGCCAAAAGTCCCGCGTTGGAGTCTTTCATCTCCTTCGTGAAGTAGTAAGTGAAGATGGCAGTGATACCCGAAAATGCTGGTGCAAGCATCACACAGATGTTACGGATATCCACGGGCAAGCCGAACCAGTCTCTTAACGTGTGCCAAATCACACCGGAAGTAACCATCAATCCTGGGTACAAAGTGCCACCAGTGACTCTGCCCAAAGGATACCAAGTTCTGTCATCGAACCAATTCAAAAAGTCGTAGAATGAGTGAGAAACCAAATACTTTGTGGCTCTGAAGTTAAACCAAGGGTCGAACTCATGGATAATGGATTCAAACCGAATAACTGAAAATAGACGCGAGGAGATAGCAGCTCCCGCAATTGAAATGAAAATAACAGTACGAAGAAGCAACCGCACCGTGTCAATTTTGACACCTAGCACCGTGGACGGTTTGGTCATACTGTGTCTTTATATGATTGAGGGGAAGGGTTGAATGAAGGTGGGTGTTGAACACTTGTTAATGCGACGATACGAAAATTGGTGAGGTTCCTCGAGCGCGTATGTGCAGGCCAGAGGCGCCCTCTCGTGGGTTTGACAGGCTGCAAAACCTCGCAATCTGACTACTTATATTATTCCTATTTGTAGACACGACATTAAAATGATGACCAACTCCAATTGGCGGGGACGCTGCCTGCAACTTGCTCGGTGGATTGATCTTCGCGGGCATAGCCCTTTCCAATTTGTACTTGAGGAGAGATCTGGTTTCTTGGCCGCTGGTGTGGGTTCTTGTACTTGAGCAATTCCTTACGTGGGCTCAAAGCAGGTTTGTTCGAAGGTTTGACCTCTGGTTCCTCCAAAGGCGCTGTTGTCACATCTATCGAGCTTCTTGGTCTGTGACATGTCACGCCAAACTCCTGCTTCATGAACTCGTTGTACTCTTCAATGCAATTGTCGCAAACACGGGAGAGTGTTCCGCGGCCACCAGTAGTGAATTGAGCAAGGTGGTTGATATACAAATAGTGCAGCGTGTGCTCTTTGCAGAAAATACCACCACAGCGACGGCAATGGTGTCTGCGCTCAAAAAAGTTGAAGTTCTTGCGACAAGTGGTTATACCACATTCAGATACAGCTTCATCCTTAAGCCAATGTTTTCTTGTAGGTGCAGCTTTCAATATGTGTTCATATTGCTTCTTGTTGAGCGTGTAGGGCCCCGTGAATGGGAGGCTAGGCGAGGCAATGGTATTGTCCGCCAGGTCAACCGAACGTATGGAATTGGAGCTAGAGCCATGGTCTCGGTTTGGCAGCCCTACTCTGGAGAGTCCTTCAAAGTAAGACTCTCTGCCAGTGTCAGTCAGATTGCTGGACAAAGGCCCTAAATCAGCATCCTTGTCCAATGTTTTTCGCAATACTGCTGGAATATACATTGGGTTTCTGAATCCCTTGATTTGCTGAATTCTTTTGTCGGCCAAGCTAGCATGTTTCGGTAAGGTATCCTCAGCTTGACTCGTCTTCCTATTACGCACATTCATGTCCATGGGTGGAACGACCGGATTAAGCTCTGTTTCACTTTTTTGGCTCTGAAGCTGTCCAAGAGATTGGCTGTGAGAAAGCGGCTGACTTGGAGCATTCATCAGCACTTGCGATTGGGATTGTTGAAGTTTGTGACTGTGAAGATTTAAGTTGGAGTGGTTGATAGGGCCCTTAGTTTGCTGTGGTGCACTCTTGATGTCAGTAACTGGATCAGGCTCGATAAGCAGGGTTTGACCATAGAGCTTCTGTGCGGGTTCGCTACCATTGGTTTGATTTTGCATGCTAAGCATTTGTCGTTGCATATCAATGTGATAGTCACGTTCGGAAGATAAAGGGGCATTCTTGGATCGTTCATTTGGTTGGTTGGTAGGCTTCCCTTGTGATGGAGGAAGTTGGGGTTCTGTGAGATGTTTGTTCTGTCGTGTGAGACTTGCAAACAGACTCAAGTCAACCTGTGCTGGTTGATATGGTTTAGTACGATTCTCTGTTTGCAGCTTATTGTTTCCTTCTTCTTTTCTCTGTTCAAGCTTCGACTCCGGCTTGAGCAGACCGTTAAGCAGTTTTGTTGTGAGTTGCCTGGATTCAGGTCCAGTCTCTTCGTCAGATCTTATAATTGGTGCTAAGGACAAAGAAAGCTTTTTCAAGGCATTAAGAGTGAGTTTCTGTTGTTGTAGTATTGTCTCTTCTCTGTATTCGTCATCATCGTCACGGTCATCCTTTATCACCGGTTGAGTACTCGACTGCGTCACATTGCTGTTGTGTCTCAGTCTATTCAGTTCGCTTTCCGATGGTGGGTCCTTGTGATCAAAGGGTAGTTGCTGTCCAATCACTATATTGTCCAATGCACGAAGATTACTGACTGACGAAAGCACAGGTGCTTGGATGAATGACTGGAAGTTCTTGTGGTTGCCCGTTCCCGTCAGGCTCATGTTGCCAAGGTTACTTGAGTTTCTTTGTAGCGCAGGAGGATTAGCCGGCTCTGTCTGTCTCAAGGACTTGAGCGATGCAGTGGATAAGACCAGTTGGAATGACTGGGTTCTTGGTTTCTTGAGATCTTTCTTCTTGAACTGTAGATCATTCAAATACTCTTTGTTAGAATCCTCGTCACCTTCAGAAGGATCAACTGGAGTCGTAGATCCTGTATTGGACTCAGCTGGACTTTGATTATCGTGTGAGCTCTGCTTGCCATCTTCCTGGGGTATCTGGTTGTCATCATTTTGGATGTCGTGTTCTTCATCCCTTCGCTCAAGCTTCTTCGGAAGGCCCTTTCCATAATCCTCATATGTTTCATTTGGATGTCTCGGAAGGGGCTTCGGCTCACTTCCGTCAGTGTCATTTTGTGTTAGCAGAGGCTCCTCGGTAGTGGCCACTGTGCTGGTTCCCATTTCTTGGTCTAGCTCGTTGCCTTAACTTAGGACTTGATGAGGTACTTTGGAGTGGAGCTGGAAAAAATGGTGATAGTTTGAAGATAGCAGAAGCCTTCGCTAGGAATAGACTCGATGGCTTCTGGGTTCGGATTAGTTAAGTTACAAATGGGGTGCCGCGAGGATGCAAGGATGCGCTTTCCTGATACCGTTGATGCCTGTGTATAGTCTTTATCGATATCGCCGTTCTGGGAAGGTGAAGGCGTCTATCCCACCCAAGGACCTAGAGACGAGTAATGTCTAGATTTGCTAAATGTTACTTACTTTGGTATCGTTTGTCAACGGACTTCCAAATTGGATGAGGCTATCGACACGTGACAAATGCCGAACACGGACCGAGAGGGAATTGGCCAAGAGAAACGAAGACCAGGGAACTCGAACCTTTGAATTGAACCAAGAAAGTGAGACCTCTGTGGGAAATCTTTCACAATGATGATGGATAACTCAGTAGGTATAGCTTACACATGATTCTGTGCACGTGATCATTACCCCGGGCCAGCCTAATTCCTGGGTGTCCCATTGGCTCGCGGGTCCCGGGGGAAAAAAATGAGAAAAGCTATCCTAAGTTAAACACTACCTACTAACGACAATACCATACAAAATGCTTTGCCGTGTTGGTTTGAGACGTATGTTTTTGACTTAACGATGAAAGTGAGTGAATTACCATGCTGAGAACAATTTGAAGACCCGAATCTTTCCACTATTCCACGCTCCCTGATTCAGAACCATACTAAGGTTCCACCCGCCTTACTAGATAAGCCGGAACCAATATGTTATGTGGTCATTATCTCTGGCTGGTTGCTCATTATTCTATCGTTTGATTCTGCCTATCAAATACTAACATACAGCCCTTGCAAGAACTTCGATCGCTAGATCGCCAGCCATGACTTCGGCTATGCTCAGAAACGTTAGATTTAACTCCACTGAGAGCATGAAGATTAGTCACGAGCAGGAGCAGGAACTTCTTGTCAACCAAAGAAAGAACCGTCCCGTTTCTCCTCACTTGCAGATTTACCAGCCCCAGCTCACATGGTACTTGTCCGGTTTGCACAGAGTTACTGGTGTGGCCATGTCTGGTGCTTTCTACGCCTTGACTGTGACCTACGCCGCCTCTGCTCTTTTGGGTTTCCCATTTGAGGCCTCTACCCTTGTCTCTGCATTCGCCGGCTTGCCATTTGCCGTCAAGCTTGGCGCTAAGGCCGCCATGGCTTTCCCATTCACCTTCCACTCCTTCAACGGCCTCAGACACTTGGTTTGGGATTTTGGTAAGGAGTTGACCCTCAAGGGTGTTTACAGAACTGGTTACATTGTGTTGGCCCTTACCGGTGTGTTCGGCACTTACTTGACCTTCTTCTGATGCATTTAGATGTTTAATTTATTATACGAAACTTGAAACCGCGACTCACTTTTGCAGCCATATACTTCTTTCCACAAACTGCTATCCTCTTCAACAAATGACTGTCTCTCTTCTTCATGCTTTGTCGCCAGGTGGTAACGAGGCTCTGCGTAGTTCCAGGCCTCTGCTTTGGTTCAGATGTAAAGCTGCAATAACAAGAGGTTACCGCAACACTAATCGGTGGTTCTGGAGTCTCCCGTGGCAAGAGATGTGCCAGTTTTCTTCAATGATGCTGTTGGGGCTAGCTTACGGGGTCTTCTTTCTTTCTGTATTCGGAATCATTGCTTTTCCATGGTGGGCAGCCACATATCTTGTGTTGTGGTGTGGATTCTTATGCGTTCTCAGCTTCTACTAAGTTCGAGCCAAGTGTGCTATAGGAGGTGGGCGGTCCTCATACATAAAAGCTAGTTTTACTCATAATAAATGTCATTTGATAGTCATATCGAGAATGGCGTTCTCAACCACCAATGTCGGGACTGAGACCTTGTAATCAGCATTAGTGTTCATTATAGCATGAATCACATAGCAGCAAAACAACATCGCTATGAAATTCACATGGAAAGCTCAATTGGGACAGAAATTCTGTTTTTAAAGGTCATTGACGGCATTGCCTTTCCAATTTGCTATCGTTCTCATGTCAAGCGACACAGCACTGATAAGGGCTCACGTCAATGAGCCACGAAATATTGAATATGACATGCCTCAGCTTGTACCTCTGTACAATTGAATAAATAATTGTTGATCTAAATCGAAAATATGGTAAGGAAACCCCGAAACTTCCATGAGCCTCAATCGCTTACTAAGTCTACATCTGTGCGACAGGATTCTCATCTATGCCCACTTTGATGGAACCAGAGGAACTAGATCCCGGTCTTTTTCTGGAGCTACCTTGGCTTGTGGTTAGAGAAATTCTCTCTTATGTTCCTAGAGAATACATTTCAGACGCATTCTTGAAAGTGCCATGGCTACGAGAACGACTCATCGAAGAGTACTACGGTGAACTTCACTTCATCCTCACGCCCTTGAAACGGCCACATTCTTGTTATTATGACAGATCAGAGCTCATAGACATTAGCAGCTATGGTGAAATATCGTCCTTTTTGGATGAAAACCCTGACATCGTTCCACATACGGTTCGAGTTATGACATCAATGGATTTCATCTCGATGCGATCGCTTTTAACTGATTACAGAGATCGCTTTGAAAGGATCCCGAATCTTCACCTCGAGATAATGGGTCACCATTTTACTGAGGACTGCTTCGAGTTTATCCAATCCTTTGGCAACTTGAAGAAGCTTCAGCTCACGGGGCCTGTTTTAGACGATATCAGCGATATGAGTACAACTTTTGCTCAATTGAACTCCCTAGAGACTCTAGTTATACTAGGGCATAAGATTCGAGACTGGAGTGGTGTCGCTCTTCCCAAAAGTCTCAAACATCTAGATATTTCGTGGATGAATAGGTGCAATGTGACAACAATCGACATACCACCCAATGTTGAGGAAATTTATTGGAATGATGCGGGACTCACCTCTTCAAGACTATCAGCTGTTGACTTTCCCTCATGCATATCGACACTTGTGATCACCGAGGGCAAAATTGAATGTTTGAAACTCTCCCAATTGCCTAGATCTTTGAAGTGTTTGGAGATCTCAAGATCACAATTGAGGGATTTCTCATGTGATGAGGTATCCGATCAGTGGCCACTATCGCTAGAGACGTTGATCTTGAGTAGAAATCGTATTCACAACGGTTCTCTCGATCAACTTAGCGAAACAAGACTCCCCCCTGGTTTACAGATTTTGAAGCTCGACGGCAATCTCATCAGCCATGTATATCATCTAAGGCATTTACCGGATTCTTTAAAGCTATTGGACATTTCTAAGAATCCTCTCCAAAATTTGGAAGACCCTACCAACTATGATGGGTACCTATACTATCGTTTCCCACGCGACTTGGAGATTCTCAATTTGTCAGAATGCATCCATGCGGGTCCAGCTCGCTATGGCACCTCTTTGGTGTTACCATCTGAGCGTATCAGGTTGCCATCCACACTTCAAGAGCTTGATTTAAGTGGAAATCTCAACTACAGGTTTGAGGCGTTCTTGCTCCCTGAGTCTCTCAGAAGACTCTCTATGATATGCTCAGGCATTCGGAGTTTGTCAAAGTATGACTTTACATTTGAGGATGGTCTTCCGAATACCGAGGTACCTGTGGCGTGGGCAGATCTCAAAAATCTTGTTTCACTCGACGTCTCAGCTAACGTTATTAGCACACTCGATGGATGGACTCCTCCGCCAAATCTTGTTCTGCTTGACCTAGCCTCGAACAGATTGAAAGAGATATCTTCAAATTCCTCCCTCTTCAACAAGAAGATTAATCTACGGTTCCAGCACCTTCAACGTCTCAACTTATCTAACAATGAGATTGAGTCAATCGACGACCTGGCTCATTTCCCACCTAATGTGGTATTCGTGAACCTTGAAAAGAACAACCTTACTCAGTTTATTTTCACTGATGGGATGTTGAACAGCAAAATGCTATGTTCTCTCAACTTGGCGGGAAACGGAATCGAGCACATTGGAGCTAAAACAGCAAAGAAAGCCACTTTAAGGGAGTTCGACTTATCACTCGCAGGCCGAGATAGACCCGCTCGACTGATTCATCCAGATAGTCTCTATGAAGTGTTGGACAATTTGGGTTTGAAAACGACACGTAGAAAACGAAACACTCGATCCATGCATCAGTTTTTATAGACAAAATCATAGATTTACAGGCTGGTATTTTATGTGCGTATGCTTCGGAACCCGGTGCACAGTAGAAGACAGCATTCAAAATCAAGCGTAGGGCGGAAACCCCTAAAACCTCTAACTTCCAAAACTGTTTGAAAAACTTATTCAAATGTCATCTCCTGTTTTACGAAAAGAGTTTTCAATGTTTTTTTATATGTGGTATCATCATTTTCAGTTTCGCAGAACTACCACTCACATAGTGAATTCACGTAAACTTGGTGCACTTCACCAATTAGCTATGATGCAAGATTATCACAAAAACTTCTAGCCTGCCGAAATACGGTGTCTGTTATTTTTAGTAAACGAATATCTGTCCAGAACAAAAGGTTGAAGAGCCATCAACGTTCTACCTACAAATCAACCAACCCATCGTGATATTTTCATTACTATGTCATTTAAAATCATTTAAAAGGTGTCCGCGTCGAAACAAACACATGGCGTTTCATTCGTGCAAAACCCACATCCAATCTTTTTAGACTTTTTGCTCTGTGTTGACTTTGTATCACCATCATGTAGAAGGTTCATTAGTTCAACAGTCAGATCAGGTCCGGCATCATCAACACGACTACGCTCACCCCCTATACCATCGCTGTTGCTCACGATGTCAACCACTAAATTGTCTTCAGAATCAAGAGTGTTCATCCGCAATGGTCTCAAGAGACTTGGCGTGAAGCCATCAGACACCTCAGGAGTACTCGAGCCAGTTCCTTCAGAATTTTGAGCACGGCGATCAAGATAGCTGCGGACCTGCCGCAGAACCGGACCAACCTGCTCATTGGATGGTTTTCCAACGCCCACACCATTGACTCTCTTGGTTACTGAATGTATCACATTCAGTTGAGTAGTCAAGTAGGCGAGGTATTTGTCGAGATCATGAATGTTGTTTATGTGGTCAAACAGCTCGAAAGAATGCGTGCTCAGTGATTTCTTAGCCCTCACGTTACTGTCGCTGGTATCGTTAAGCACGTCAAATGTGATGACACCGTTCTGCACGAACCGAAGCTGCTTGATCTGGTTGGTAAGCACATCAATATAATTCTTGATTAACTCTTGCTCCTTGATTCTAGCCAAGTAACTCTTTTGTAGATCATTAACTTGCACATTGGAGCTCAAGCCAGGTGAAGTTGCGGCAGTCTGACATTGAGGTGAGCTTGAAGCCGTAACTGAACTTGAAGTTGTGGGAGCTGGTGTGACGGCTATAGGTGTAACGGAGCTCTTTCGTGACACACTAATAGCTTGTGGAGATCCTCCAGAAACACCTGTCACTGTTGCCGAGGATGCTGATCCTAGTCTTCTCTTTGCAAGCACTGGTGAACCATCGTCAACTTTTTCGACAGGCGCAACAGCCGCAACTTCTTCACGCTTCACCTTACATTTCTTCTTTGGTGCGGTCTTTTCTGGGCCTGGTGAACCACCAGCAGTAGGTTTCCGTCCCGGACGAGGCCGAGGGGGAAGCACCCATTTTCTCGAGGTATTTATGAGACTCTCGTTATTGAGAATTGATGAAGGCTTCGCCGTTTGGTTATATGTGGGGTTAAATGTGGATTTGGGAGTAGCGGCAGGTTTCGGCTTAATGGCTATAGCAGGTTGGATTTTGGCATATTTGGTTGACGCCTGAGGCTGAGGAGTTGCTGCCGGTGTTCCGCTATAGCTCGGACTTTGGGGACTCAGCAGATTTTCACTTTTTATGCTGGTTTGGACGGCCATACTCGTGGAGGCCCGGAGGCTGGTACTTGTTTGCATCGGGGTATCGGGCATTTTAAACGTGTGATTTTTAGCGAAGTCAAACTAAATAGTCTTTTAGGTCGACAGTTTCTTTTGGAATAGTTGAATCAATAAATAAGTTTTGGTTTAGGGGAGTGTTCGGATGAAGGCAACTCGATGGAAAATCCGGGGAGATGATTTTCAAGTTGTTCAGATCCCACAAAAAATGAACTTGTCAAGACAAGGAGCCTGACAATATATCTCAGTCTTCACCAGCTTCTTGAAGACTTTTTGAAGTATTTGAAGGTGGCTGTCAAAAGCAAAGGTTTGTGGATTCTAGGTTTCGGAAAGAGACCGGGTCTTCTAGGGAGGAACCGGGACATCCACTTGTGCAGTCACGTGAAGATGATCAGGCCAGGACTCATTGCCATTACTCGCGTACCAGATTAATGCAGGACACTAAAACAAAACATACCAAGTCAGTTGAAGCCGCTGGAAGGAACTTTGAATTCAAGAGTATAGCTTAGCTTGAAGATCAGCACAGAGGGTCATGTCGAAGGAAGAACAAATGGCAACGCTCAATGAGCAGGCCGCATTACTCCACTCCAATCTCACTGAGTTCGACAAGCTCTTGAAAGAGACAGCCAGACAATATGAATCCATTCAAAGCTTGGGCATCATGCACGGAGCATTTTTCATGGCTAGCCATACCGTGTTTGGTAGTCATTACTATGACGCGAAGGAGAAACCTCAGTAAGGCCAATGATTGCACCTCGATAGCATAGCACAGGGGTGGAGGAGATCGTGCTTTTGGAAGACAGTCTTGGAACATAGCATCGGTACCCCTTTGCGTGACTTAATAACTCGAAAACTTGCACAGGTGGCACGTTTCTGGCCTGTCGTACCGGTACTTCACTCTTTCTTTCTCAAATCAATAATGAATGAGGAGTTTTTAACTCAGTGGACGACCTTTTGAAGGGCTCTAGATTCTGGAGCTTCCGAAACCGTGGGTCCCGATGGGACAATACACTTCCAAGACCCTGAGGCTCCAAGTGATCGATGAAAGAGAGAAAGGATAGCGCTTACATGTCAACCATTTATCGTTCGTTTACCATCTATTTACATGCTGACTCACTTTTGAGCTTCTTGATCCCGAAGCTCTTTCGCTTCCTGCAAGCGTTGCCTATATATTTTTTGCTTTTGCTTCTTTTCAGCTATGAGTATGTCTCTTTCCTGATCGAGATACTCCATCTTCTGATAGCTGGCAACACAGTCCAAGGATCGTTTATTGGCTGCCTCGCAGTTTTTCATGGCGTCCATGGGGTTCTCAAAACTGTTCGAACACTCCACGTATGCCTTGATCAAGTCATCACACCTCGCAAAAGCCTTCTTTCTCCATCTCTCAAAGATAACCTGCTCCTCCTTGGGAGTAATAATCCACGCAGGCATGTTTGGGTTAGTGGGGAGGTCAACCCCATCATATGGCTTTTTACTCATGAAGACGAATGTTTCCCGAGCATTATCGGAAGACTTCTGATGTGAAAACGGTACTTATGTACAGGACAAGCAGATTAACGAAAGGAAGATTCATAACACAACACCTTCACAAGATGAATTGAGAGTCACTAGACGAGTCTTTGAAATGTCAAACATGACTGTCAATGGTAACCTAGGCTCTTTCGATATTTAAGTGAGTGGCCTGCAAATTGACATCCAAATTGATAACTCAAACAGCCATTAGGTCCGTGTAGTATAAATTGAAACGACAACTCGAGGGACATTGAACTAAATCCTTTGGGTTTTGTTAGCTGTCTAACTATTTGTTACATAATTTATTTAAAAGTGCTTCAAGGTGTTGATATATGAGAGTGCGAAATCAAAACAAACTTTACCATCACCAAACAGACTACATCAACACCACAATAATGCTAGGAAATCAGCCACAAGAGCTCGTATACTCTACGATAGAGAATTTTGAAACCGAGCCAGACATCACAAGTCTAGCGAGGATATCAGAGACAATGAACAAAACCGAGGAGAAAAGAAGAGCCAAACTCACTCGCCTACAAAGCGGGATCACGAAGCTCGAGGAGCAATTGGCAGAAGTGAAAGGCAAGCTAGAAAGTCTAAACCAACCAAGTGAAGCATTGAAGGAACAAATTGGCAATCTCGGGAAAAATCCACTCGACCCAAATGAAAGCACCTTCCAACTAATCAACACCAAATCAGGGGAGCTCGACTCGATGAAGGTGGCATTAGCAAAGCAACTCACGGACGTTGAGTCACAAATTAATCAAATACACATGGCAAAGATGAATCTTACTAAGCAAAAGGAGGAGCTACTACAGCAGAAAGAGCAGGCTCTTGCGGTCTCCGTTGCAGAGAATCACAATTCTTCGAGCATGAAAATAAGTTTATTTAGAAGCCTCGGTGTTCATGTTGGGACAGCAGAGAAGGGCGACAAGATTGTGATTTTCGACGAGAAGAAGAACCAGACATCTGTGCTAGATGTGGATGAAAAGTACTCGGACTACTTTATCTCCAACTATATTTGGGAACGGCTTGGAACGTAATGTATAATGCTATGTACAATGGGAATGATCTAGAAATTCTTGGGGTTGTCTCTGAAAGACTTCTTGGTCCATTTGGGCACGAAGTGCACCGACTTTCTGTAGCCACGAACCTTCTTGTCAAAAGTCGTGTACTTGTCTTTCGTCAGCAACTCGTATTCTTTAGGGAAGTCAAACTTCAAGGCATCGATCTTCTTGAAACCGGTGGATACCTCGTTCTCAGGTTTGAGTGATTGGTAGAGCACCTCGATGTTGTGATCCACGAGCTGCATGCGTCTCCTGAGTCTCTGTTTTTGAGGTTGTGACATTCTGGGTGCTTTTTTCCATAAGTAACCACCGTAGGCCACAAGTGTGGATCTGAAGGCACCTAGCATGGTTAATTAGTAGGATTAGGTCTCAGTGAATTTTTCTGTAGCGCGGTCGTGCGAAGGTAGAAACTTGATGGTGTATCACGGGGGCCATTAAATCTGGAGTCCAGCAAGAATTAGGCTGGAAGATGTTCAAAGTAGAAAAGTAAAACGTTTTCATTTGTGACGACCTAAGCTCGTTTCCTTCCTTTTACTTGGAGCTTGCGCGAAGGGCAAACATGGGTTGATACTGAGTGGCTGCGAAAAACGTACCACCCAGAGAGATACAATGAATTCAGGATATAATTCACAAATTTCCTTCAAAACATCAGGCAACAATTGGAAACATTTTCACCGTATTGTGTTGAGGATGCTATTGTCGGAGTTCATAGTCCGGCGGAGTCAGAACGCCCTGTATAGCTTGGCACGCAACACCAGATTCATCTCATAACCCCAGAAAAACTTCTACGTGATCTTGACACTTCAACATCGATGCCCTTACAATCTCGTGCAGTAATTCACGACCATCTATTTATCTATATACGAGTACGATTAATTTGTTAGTCCTGTGCTCGGTTTACCCGAGACCTCTATTACCTATACCATGACCCAAATATGCTATATAATGTTTTGTTTTGTTTTTCATAAATTTTTCGTTTCCAGTTTTTGAAGTTTTTCATTTTTTTCTTCTTTTTCTTTGTTTCGTAAGTTTTCATGATGATGCCATTACAACACGCCGAGCCACAACCTGTAGTTGTGCGACGTGGACGCCAAGGGCCCCAACAGAGGCGCCTGGCTGACCGAATAATTTAGCGAAAAGTCCCGCACGTCCGACTCCTTCATCTCCAGCGCCAAAAGCAATGGCAGGTTGTTGAGCTCTTGCGTGGTGAACAGACTAGCTGACTCCAGCGCCGAGTCGGACAGAGGCTGGTATAACGAAGGTGTGAGCAAGGGGGAGACAATGTCCGCCAGCTTCAAGGAGGAGGCCTGGGGGTGCTCATCACGTTCACGACATGAGTCTGAGCAGTAGACCGAGTGTGGAGAGCACAACTGGTCACAGGCAATGCAATAATTGTTGAAAGCGTCAGACATGATATAAATGCAGATAATATGGAGGGGGAGCTCGAGCCTGGCTTAAGGGGGAGGATGCCTGGTTCAGATGAGCTTTGCAAAAAGAAAGGGGGGTGTTGTGGGGGGTCTCTTCAATGAAGAAGAAGTTTCTTTGATTTGAGGTGAAAATTGTGGCAGCACCTGTGGTTTATATATGGGCAGCAAATAATATGGCGGGGTCTGTTCTAGATGGGAAAATTGCGCCTACTGTGACACACTGCGCACGTTCGAGGGGTCGCCGAGGGTGCATGGGGTTGCGTAGGCTGGAGCTCCGAGGGTATTACCGAGGGCAAGAAACCCCGGGCCCCAGACGGCTCCAAAATAGTCAAAGCCAGCATGTCGTGGACAAAATGACCAAAAAACTGAAGATCCCCCCATTCGAGCCCGTTAGCCCGGTACCCCAAGCGGGGCATTTACTTTGGCACCCCATTCCCCAGCACTTCTCCGCATGACGGCTTCTCGCGTGGAACGTGAGTTCCGGTCTATTGTGGGCCCAGGTGCCCTCGGTTTAGGGCTGCTCGGAGTGAGTCAGGCCCGAATCTGTGGCCGACTTTCGGGGGCCCAATTGTGCAGCGGCACGTGCCCCAGCCACGGGTGCTCAGCAGACCCATCGGCTGTTTATACTACTTGTCAAGGAAGAATAGGAAATTGTATTATTATCTAATTCTTTGACAAAATTGCCAAATCTCAAACGTGATACCAGCTGACTTTAAGGTGGCCTGTTGCTGAAGCCGCGCAATCTCCGTGGGCCCGGCCCAACATTATTTGCAGCCAGTTGCTTTAATACACAAATTCTTAGCACCCGGTTGAAACTTGCCTTTTTTTTTTTTTTGTTTCACATCAATGGAACTCCTTCTGCACCAGCCCTCGTTTGTAAGCGACTCTGCTGCTTGCGCTAATACCTTCTAGACACTGTCTCAGTTTAGCCGCTTGCCTTAACATGCGGTGCAGCCCACGAGGTTGCTACCACGAGGATAGACGAGAAACGGTAGGCACTGTTTGTAGCCGAGATACTTAAAGAAGACATCCACAAACAATTACAAACAATCGATAAAGATAGACATCTGTATGCCTCGGTTTCAAAGTATCACCAGGGCATTACATGTCACATTAAATAATAATTTGTTTCATGTCCTGCTTGATCAGACCCTGTCGCTTGCCGCCAAGGCGGGAGCCAGCTACTTAGACATCCCCAACGAACCACTCATCTTCCAGAACTGTAACTTCAACCACCATACTTAACAGCCCTTGCCTTGTGCACCCAACAGTCTGGCTTGGCCAAAACCACAAGGGTGGAGCCCACAAGGGCCCCTCGGAAATGATGAGAGGGGTACTGCACAAAGATGATGCGGGCGGCCGTCTTGCCAGGCAATTTCCCCCCCGGAAGTCGCCACCACTTTGCCACCCCCGGATCTCGTCGATTCTTCGAGAAAATTTTCAACTCCATCTCCTCCCAGCCTCGACTGCAGACAGCTCACTCCACACTTTCCCGCTCCCGCTTTCGGCAATCACATTCAACTAAGCCCTACCTCAAGGCCCCTATACTTTATGATGAAAGATTAACCTTTTGGGCTTTTAAGGGAGGATTTTTCCTTTTGTAAGCAGTCCCATTTTACTTGGCTGGCAATCTTCGAGTTTTGTGATTCTCATCGGGTCACAGCTTTGTTTCACACTACCGCCGTGCTTAAAGTTGCGATGCCTCGTGATTTCGATGTTTGTGTTTCGAAAGTGGATCTTTTTTTTTCTCTTGCAGAACGCGTGGCGATCTACGAGATAACCTCCCCGACCTCCGTACACCCCATCAAACTACTCCAGCCCACCAGGCCCTACCAACGCCAAAAGATGGTGGATTATTTATTTCTGATATTGACTTTGTTCTCCATGTACTACTATTTTTCTCTGGCGATTCATTCGGTGTTTCAAAGAGTGTTTCAAATTTTGTGTCTCCTGTACTCTAATGTTTCAGCGGGCCGAGGTTCTCTGCTGCTCAGCAAAGCCACTAGAAGCTCCACACGACGTGCTAAATAGCCGAATGTCCCTTCAATTGGAAGCATGGTGGCATTGTCCCCACGGATCCGTCGTCACCACTCACGCATGAAGTAGCAGCACAGCGGGCGGCACAGCAGGTTATTTTACGTCACTAGCCACATCTCCTCAATGGCCACGACAAGTCATGACACAAAAGAGTTCCCGCTTTGCCGGAGATGTTGGAGGAGCTAGTGTGGAGAAGTTTTCAGCAGGTTCGACTCCCACCTCGGAAGCGAGATTTTCGAGGATCGACGAGAGAAGCTTTTCATGGGAAGATCGGAGGGTAAAGATTTTCACAAGCTCGCCAACAAGAGTCAACAAAGGCATGAGGCAGTGTCATAAAGTACATATACGTAAGCTTAGCAGCAAGCTATTACGGTGTAGTTAATATTAGGTTGATCAATTGATCGGCCTTCGGCCTTCTGTGGTGTTGACAAACATGACCAGACTTTACCCTTCAGACGGAGTTAAGCTTTGAAGCATCACAGGAGTGTTTACCTCGTTGAATTGAGTTTGCACCCCTCTGTTGTCTACAACAGTAAGTGGCGATGTTGACCCAATGACCTAAAAATGATCATGCCTAGCAAAGTAAGCTTCCCATCATCCACAGTAGTATCTCCACTGGTTTCCAGGCAACGGACATCACTATATATCCAGTTGCTACCGACAGATGCTCAAACTAGGTGACGCCCAGAATGCTAGACCAATTGGAGATCAAGAGCACCGGGGAACGGTCTGCGTGACCGTTGTATCCATTAACGCCGTCTACTGGCTACAAACCCTTCCAAGTTGAGCACCAACAACAACGGTCCTGTGTTGCGATACCCCCTAACCCCTTTTCAAACCCTGTTTCTAAACACCCTTGTAGTCGTACCTGAGCCCGTCGAGTTCCTTGACGTTGCCCTTAATTTCTGTGTGCCACTTTCTCATTAAAATTACCATCACCAAGTTCCCCATAGGAACAACACAATACATGCTCTTGAGGCCCGACTGCCAAGCCGCCGCCCCGAGCTGAAGTAATAGGACGAGGTTGAGGATATTCACTCCGTGGTAGGAAAAAGCTAGCCGTGCTGGCTGGGCAAGTCCTTGAGCCCATGCTTTTGAACGAAGCTTTCGCAGAACATGCTCTCCCAACACGCTCACATCATATAGGAGATTAAGCAACGAGAGTATGCTGCTTAGTGTTATCAACAAAGTCAAAGATAGTTTATCCTTTTTCAGGTCTGCTGTTCTTGTGAACCATACTAGGATCGGGAGTTCAACTACCACCGATAGTGCTAGGACCTTGGTGTATATGGCTAGGTTCTCGTCATTTCGTTGCCTTAACTGTGTTATCAAAAGCTCTTGGTCCTCGGTGTCTATGGGTTCATTCTGATCTAGAATGGCTCGGTCCACTTTTCTCAACCTTGACATGAACTAGTAGTAGTATGGAGTTGATAAGTCGCGGTGCACGGATGGGATCAAATGGTGATGGTGGTGGGAAGAGATTATGCAAAAAATCACGTAAGTCAATTTTTTTTTCTTCTTTTCTTATGTAAGTTTCTCTGGTAGGTTATCCGATTGAGCTTGTAAATTGTAGGCCAACCCTTAAAAATGTGCCATCATGTAAATGAAGAAAAGGCTAGACTACTGAACATTGGGTTAGCTTATTCCAGAGTTTCAGCTACTCGTAGTTAATTGCTGTAGGAGAGTAAAAGAAACTGTTTCTTTCAAAAAGTGTTGTTCTACAGATTATAGAGCAATGAATTTCGAAGATTGAAAATTACCTGTCGAGTATGGTTTTGAGCGGCGATGGTTCATCCCATTTTCCATTCCAATTCCTGCCCTGCCATCTTTCGACAATCACAAATTTGACCAAAAAAGGAAACAAATAGAGAAAAAGTGAAAAATTATGAATCAACTTGCACAATTGCCTCTCATTGGCTCCACAAAAGCACACAAATAATTCATTTAACCAATGGCTGTATTCCCAGAACCAAAAGCAGAAACAGGGGGTGCTCAATTGAGTAGTCTTGTGTCTTTAGCCTTCCACATCTCTGATTTGATGGATCAATTGAGTCCAAATTGTCTTCTAATCGCCGAGGAGCCGAAAGTTCGGAAACGGAACCTATCGGGTTTGTAATCACCATTTCGGTATGCTTGGCTTCTTTTAGATAATGCTCCCCTGAAGGGTTACAACAAATCAGAAAAGGGTTATGGTGGTGAAATTTAGGAATTTGCGCTTTTTTATCGGTTCAACTTAGGGCGGGACCATACCTACTGAGAACGTTGATCGACGAGAAGGTATTGTCGAGATATGAAAGAGCCACAATGGGATTTGATTTGCCAGAAATACATTCTGTTTCGGTCCGAGGCAGTAATTAAAGACGAGAAGGGTAAAAGTAGCCCCATTTATGCGTGCCGGCTGTCTGTAATTTAGGTTGTCAGGGAACTACGGCGGCATCTTTGTTCGAGGAAGGATCCACATGCACTGAAAAACGGGAATTTCCATGAATTCCACCTACTATTGGCTGAAGATGGCGGGGGGTATATGTGACAAAGAGCTTTTAGTTCATGCGCGAGGAAAGCAGGGAAAGAATGGCCGGTGAATGGGCTCTTTGTAATAATATTTCACTCCACACCCATGGATCTTGAAATGCCCTTAATCAAGACAGCTCGGCCACCTCCCGATCGGCTAGACAAATTAAGTGGGATCCTCGATTAGACGATTGACATTGCCTTCGATCGACCTACCGGGTGGTCCCGATATCGTAAGATCTACAGATTGGCCTCGTCAATGGGCATTCCCTAGTTCTCCTTAATTTAGCCTTCACAGAATGATTGGATACCCGCCGACGTCAAACAGACAATTAGGCCCATTTGGACAATAAATGCTCGGCAGGAACACCTCGGTGGAATGTAAGCCATACTGGTCTGAGCGCATTATGCCTGCTCGATATTTCAGCCTCGCCGAAAAAAAAAAAAAAAAATAAAATGCTAGACGAGTACAAGTCTACTATAGCCGATACGAATTGGGCGGGACCAGCACAGCAAGGATCTAGAACGGTTTAGCCTTTTCCACCTTCAAAGCCCTAGACTAAGTTTATGCACAAGAAAGGGACAAGTTGGGGTTTGGGCCAAATCGGGTGTGATGCTAGAGATACAATAATGGCATTTCAATGAGGATGGAATAATATAAAAAAAAAGCGGTGGTAGAAGCCCACTTTTCGAGAAAGGTACCAAGGCTTGATAGGAAGCTCATCCTAGTGTAGAGTGTGCTCTGCGGCGCATACAAAAAAGGAAGAGCGGTTGACGAATTGGGTCTTGTGCGTGTGCGATCTAGACGATGAAAACGGCACTTGGTGTAGATGTGATCACCCCCTCCGAAGGCACAAGCTTGAAAAAACAAAGTTTATTGTAAAGTTTCCCAAGGGGTTGTTGGCAAGGACCCTTCATTGATCATTCAAAAAAAAAATTCCACCGTGGAGGTAAGCCTTTCTTCGGTATGCGCCACAACCCTCTCTATCTTGAATCGCTGCGGGCGCCTGCAGGCACCAAACGTGCCTGCCCCAGTTGGCAAGCCAGATCCAGACCCTCTGCGGCTGCCTAAACCAGCCATATAAACAGCAACCTATTTTGTAAGCGGAACTCACCGTTCTGGATCGCCTCGGCCCACCTTCGCGCCTGCTTGACACCTGTTTGCTTACCATTCTGCCTTGAGACGGTGAGTATATGGGACTGCACAGATGGGCCCTTTTTCTCAAGAAACGCGTTTTCCGAGCAGCTAGACTCCTGCATGCACACGATTTGCCGGCCCGCGCATAGTGAAGCACTCCTAGACCCACAGGCATTCTCAGGTGCGAGCCGCTCTGTGTGCAGGGATGCACGGCTATGCGCAGGTTGGGCTCTGCCTTTTCCCTTCTTTCTTCATGCTCGAAAATGAGGGAAAACAGACCGAAAAAAAGGCCCTTACTTCCACATCCGTGCCGCCTCCTCTCACTCTTTTAAAGCTCGTGTTCCCCCCAAAATAGAACGGGCGAACCTACCCATTACGAGGATCAACAAAAGAGGCACAAAAGCTCTGCAACCCTTCTTTTTTATTTCGTTTGAATAAAATAAAAAGAACACTGAGAGGGTGTGCCCTTCGTTACTCACATTGATTTGATTACACAACAAGAGAAACTCATCAAGGCTATTTCTAGCACACATTCGTTCAGGCCGACCAGGTCTTGATATTTACTTCTCCGACAAGTCTAGCTTGTCCAATATTTTTTTCCGATACCCCATTCCTAACCCCAGTCCTTCTTTAGTACGATGAGATCCGCCTTCATCATTCCCGTTTTCCTCGCCTTGGCTGTCGCTGAAGACAGAAACAACAACGGCAGAAACCGAAACAACAACAACAATAACAACAACTATTTCAACAGCTACTGGAGCTCCATCGTCAATGGTGCCCAGCCTGGGAATAACAGAGACGTGGTTCCTGGTCAGAGCTCTTCACTGAGTTCAGCTTCTTCAAGTTCCAGTTCCGCCTCTTCTGCTTCAAACCCATTTATGGCTTGGACTTCCATCTTCCCCAGTGCGTCCTCCAGGGAGCCTCTTCCGCAGTCGACCAGCTCGAACACTCCGGCCGAGGCATCGCCGTCCCCAACTTCCTCGTCGACTTCCAGCTCTGCTCCTCCAACCTCATCCACTCCTTCAACTTCAGAGACCCCCGTCGAGACATCCACTCCCACCACGTCCCTGAGCTCGAGCAGCCCTAGCTCATCCTCGTCATCCACACTCAGCACCGTGGCCCCCAGTCAGATACAGTTGACCACTGAATCATCGCAGTCTTCTGAACTGCCGCAGACTTCTAGTGAGCCAAGCACCCTGTCGCCAGAACCCCTGTCGCCAGAGACTTCTTCCCAGCCCACTACCTCGTCTGAGCCTCCAGCCGAGCCAACTACATCCCTGACTCCATCATCGCTGAGTGCCGAGGAGCCAACTTCGCTGACGCACCAGGAATCTGTCGAGACCACCCCGCTGACCACGAGCTCATCACTGAGCTCTTCGCTGGCTCCCGAGACTTCCACAGTTTCGCCAACGGAAGAGAACCCACTGGCTTTCACTGAGACCACGTCTTCGCTGTCGTCTGAGTCTTCTCTGACCGCCACAACCTCTTCTTCTACACCTGGAACCTCGACCCCTTCCTCGACCCTTTTGGAATCGACATCCTCCTCGGAGGCTCCCACTGTCTCGGGTGTTCCAACTAGCAGCACCCACTCTCTGACGGAGGAAACGACTTCTTCTACTCCATCTTCCTCGGAGACCACCAGCAGCTCAACTTTCTATGGTGCTGTCCCATCAAGTGAGAGCACAACTAGCTCGGAACCGGAGACTACTTCTTCCACTAACGAGTTTAGTGAAGCTTCCGGGACACTGACCTCGCTGACACCAGTGAGCCTGACTATCCCTGAGACGCCTACCAGTCTGACGTTCCCAGAGACCTACGAGAGCCTGACTTTCCCAGAGACTCCCGAGAGCTCAACATTCCCAGAGACAAGCTCCGAAGCATCAACCACTTACGAAGCGTTTACCTCTCTGCCAGTGGCCTCAGAGACTTCCTCTCCAGAGAGTGCATACCCTCTGGCTTCTGAGACATACGAGTCCACTGGTGCTCCATCCGAAACCACAGAGTCCACGTCGAGCTACGAGGCTTTCACTACAACATCGTCTTCTAGTGAACCTCCAACTGAGACTTACGAGCCTATCCCCAGTTCGTTCGACTCCTCCTCGGAGCAGTTTGTCTCGCTGAGTATCGCGGAGCTGCCAAGTTCATCAGAAGACACCAGCACATTGTTGGCTGTTACACCTTCTGGTAGCAGTGAGACTCTGTACAGCGAGCCAACCGAGACATCCTCGCAACCTACAGAAGTGACTTCAGAGCTGGAGACTCTCACTCCACCAGAGTCAAGTTGGTCTGAACCAGTCTCAAGCGAGTTCCCCACCACGCTGGACACTTTTGATGCCGACACAACAACATCGTCGTATGTGCCATCAGAGGAGACAAGCAGCAGTTTGCTGACACCAGCTGCTGTCATTACCAGCTCTAGCTCCGAATGGACTCCCGAGTCGCTGGAAACCGAGGTATCAACCTTTGAAGAGGCAACACTGTCAGTGAATGAGACATCAAGTACTCCATTGCTCTTGACAACTTCTTCATTGACATCCTCTCCAACTCTTGACACTGAGATCACTCTGGAGACCGCTGAGTCGCTGCCAGCATGGAGCCTGGTTACCACTGAAGAGTCTTCTACAATTCCTGTGGTCTCGAGTCCAACAACGGAGTCTGAGGTGCTGCTGGAGGTAGAGTCTTTCCAGCCTACCACGAGCTTGGTTTCCGCCTCTCAAATCACCACCAATGATACTTCTGTGGTCGAAACTTCCACAGCAGAAACCTCACCCGTCGAACAGACCTTTGTGTCTCTGCCAACGGAAGCTTCTCTGCCAACGGAAGCCTCTGAAGTGAGCGTGGTAACTCCAGAACCATCGTCGCCTGTCGAGACTTCTCCAGCTGAGACGCAGCCTGCTCCAACCGAAGAAGCTTCGCTGTCGACGAAGAACTGGTTGCCTACTCAAATTGTGGCCGAGTCAACTACTTCCTCAACGGAGGGAGAAACTATCTCGGCTGCAACCACTGCTGCAACGAAGACTTCAGGTTTGCCAAGAGCTATCACACCAGCTGAAACAGCATCTCCTGGAAAGGAGTATTCGATGATTTATATTGGATTCAAGGAGAGCTTGAACTACCCATTTGTGGTCGAGAATTCCGTCTCATCCGCTCAAATCTTTGAGTACCTTCCTAGAGTGTTGCAATTTCCATTTGGTGACGCCAAGGACTACAAAGACACACTTGTGAGCAGCTTGGTACCATACCATGCTGACGGCATCGATTACGCTATCACAGTGGCCGAGGTTTACTTCCCAACCAATGCTGTTGATGCTTTGTCTCAACTTGTGTTAGACGACAACTCGAAATTGTACAGGAACCCAGATGACACCGAGTCCATGTTAGCATCCTTGATCGATAAGAGAATTCCTATTGTTGGCCTTAACACTGACGATGGTTCATCACTGGGCAACAATGGTCAGAACTCCGGATCATACGACTCTTCCAATAACCCTGTGAAGAAGAAGGGCACCATCGCTGGTGTGGCTACTGGTGCAGCCGTGGGTTCAGTCATCTACATGTCTTTGATGATTCTCTTGTTCAAGAGGTACAAGAAGAAGAAGGCTCTTCAGCTTCCTCCAACAGACAATGAGAGTTCATTGGATTGGAGTTCTCAGGAGGACTCGCACGCCGTGTCCAACTCAAACGGAACTAGTCTGACTAGACCACCTATCTCCGAACCAGTGAATGCATTCAACTCCCTCGGTTGGTCAAACTAGTGAGGACTCAACCGGTCCAGCATTTCGTTGCTTGCTGATTTGTTTCTGAGAAACTTAGACAGTGTTCATTCGTTACTATATTGAAAACCATTTCACTTTCGTCGCACATCAGTGACTGTGTTAGATACATACACTTGTACGAATCTTATGTTAGATACCACCTTTGAATATACCATTCATATGCAATCTATTAACTAAGGAACTTGTAGATTTCTTCGACAACCACAACCGAATCCTCATCGAGTGTCTCCTGCAATTCAGATATCAAATTCTCCTTCTCGCTTAAATTGTTCTCGCAGAGGAAATCATAAATGAAATCAATCAAAAGATCCTCCTTCACACCCAAATATTCCAAGATGAGATCTCCTATTCTGTTCTTAAGTGCGTCAAGTTTGGTTTGTGGTAACTCCAGGATAGATACATCAGACACAACAGATTCGCTTGCTTTTGGCGCATCATTTGCAATTATCACAGGAGCAGAATCCTTCACCTCAGTCTGCTCATTCTCTAGATCCATCTTATCATTCTGCTCTTCCTGAGATCTCTCAAAATTCCTGACTTTTAAGTATTCAGCATGATCGTTGAAGTACAATTGTAATTTCGAAGATAGTATAGGGTTGACTTGCGGAACATCGAGGTCGGAAAATGCTTTAAAGTCCTCCAAGTATGAGAATTTGTTATCCACCAAATTGTTCTCATAATTTTGGGCTGCCTTGAGTTGCTGGAGTAGAGAAAAGACTTCGACCTTCTCCAAATGCTGTACTTTCTGAAGTTTTCTTTGATAGGCCTCGTTGCGCTTCTTAGCGAGTTCTTCCTCAACTGACTTGATGTATTCATCCTCGGGTAGGCTATCTTGCTCCTCTTCCTCATCTTTCATCTCGGTATCCTGCGCTGTATTCGTCGATTCTCCAGGAACAACATTCGACTCCTTGATGTCTTCAAAGAGATTGGTAATTCTTGCCTTGGCCTTCTTTCTTTCTTCTTCTAACTCCTTCTTTCTAGCATCTTTCTCCAAAGTCAACACTCTGGAACGGAATTTGACAATTTCCCTCACTATTTTATCCCTCATGTCTGAAGGTATGTCGACCAAGTCAGCGTTGTCCACCTTGTATTGACTGTAATGTTGCATGATGTTATCTAGATCCTCTGTACCAGTCTTTCCAGATAATTTTCCGTAGTTGTTCTTATTGGCGATGATATTTGAGATACTGGAGGCAACTTCTTGAAGCTTATCGTCTTCAGTATCATGACTTGAGGGTTCAACATCCGAGACCACCTCAGCTTTGAAGACATCAGCAAGCTTCTGTAAAAGACCACAGAACAGCTCTGCCAATTGAATGCTGGAAAAACGAATGAATATGTTGTTTTCTCCAATGTCTGCATCGCTTAACTCTGTCCACAAAAACAGGCCCTTCTTGGGCAGCAAAGACACAATGGAGTTCAAGACTTTTTCCATAGCGTTCTTTTGTAGAGCTGGACATTTCATAAGCGCCACAGTTGCTTTCTGTTCTTGCTTGTTATGCGGTAGAAGACGATCAAGCCCCACATAGAGCTTCAGTGGGTTCTCCAGCTCATCACCCACGTTTGACACTGCAGTTGCATCCTCAGCAGATGTTGATAAACCGTCTTTGCTTGTCAGAGATTTGTTGAGCCGTTGTTGCTTGAGTAGCTCCTCAACATCCACATCACCTATGACGGGAATGCTGAACATCGGCTCAATGTGATTGTACTCGGGCCTTTTGTAGCCCTTAAGCTTGGAGATAAACTCATCGTTCTGGTGAACATTGATAGGATATGGATCCACTATTCGGATTTTCATGTTAACTGTAGCGAAGGTTTGGAAGGTGGATGGAGTTGAGTAGTTGATGATGCACCATATGCACGCGGTATCGTACTTGGTATATGGGCTGGGTCAAATACTCCGAAGTGGGTCCAATCTATTGATTGTTGTAGCGGAGGTGTAATTTAACTCTATAGATTAGTAAATAACTCTTTCTGTATATATATTCAACCCTACCACTTCGTTATGGTTGCAAACTGTACTGGTGCGAAGAGACATTAGATTTCAACTACATCTTGCATTATCAACAAATGGCTGAACTACCTGAAATTCCTGAGATCCCTGCGGATTTAGGAAATGACTTCTCCAGTAACTTAATCCTCGACAAACTGACGGACGCTTCAACGCCCAGACAGCTGAAGTCCAGAGACAGCTCTAATAAGAATTCCAACATACCCAAGAACCCCAACAGCATAGAACAGTGGAACGAACTCATACGAAAATCAGAGGACAAGTACGACAATTCAGGTGGCCAAGAGGATCAGAGAAAGAAGTATGCTTCATCAACTTCAAATGTCTACAGGCAGCTTCTATCGAGGTTTCCCTTCCTCACCGAGCTGTGGAAACAGTTTCTGATATTCACCTATAAGGCGAATGGTCTCAAGGAGTCTTTGGCAGTTCTTGAGCTTGCAACAAAGAAACACCCACAGAGTATCAGCATATGGGTGGAATACCTCACTGCTTTAACCAGCGCTGGTGATGAGTTCTTCCCTGCAAACAGAATTGACCAAGAGTTCTCCAGGGCAAAGACCCAAATTGGCTATAATTTTCATTCGGATCCGTTTTGGGATCTTTACATCTCTCATGCCTCGAAGAAGGATGACCCAAAGGACCTATTGTCCTTGTATCTTTACCTCATACACATTCCCTTGTACCAATATGCCAAATATTACAACCAATTCGTCGAGATGAACAAAACTTTCGATGTGAATGAAATTGTCGAAGATGAAATGCATTTGAATAAGCTTCTACAAGCATTCGGCAAGACTGAAATATCTGAGTTGTCAGCTCTTGAAAAAGGCCAATTGATCGACGAGTACGCCAATTCGATATTCGTGGAAACACAAAGACAGGTTAATGAAAAATGGCCACATGAATCCTCGTTGGGCTTTCAAGACTTCCAATTATCTACTCAACCAGATGCCGAGCCATGGCTACGTTATTTAAACCACGAACTAGACAGCCTCAAGACTTTGTCAGACGAAAGCCAGAGGGTTCATCATCTCAGATTCATTTCAAACCTCTTCGAACGTGCTATTGTTCCGAATTGTTTCAACAGTCAGGTTTGGTTGAAATACTGTGATTTCGCAGAGGCTTACCTTTCCTTCGATGAAGCCAAGGGCGTGTATGACAGGGCTGTCTTCAATTTTGTACCTCTCAATGAGCCAGAAGTTAGAGTCAAATATGAGGACTTCCTCATGAAGCGTGAGATGTTCGACGTGTGTAACGAATACTTGCTAGATCTACTTCGCTCGTTTTCTGGATCGACAGGTTACAATATCTACTCCAAAGCTCCCTACATGCATACATTGCAACAGCTTGTGTCATTGTGGAACAAGCATGTTGCATCAGAAACGTTGACGGGCATACTTGAAAATATAATCTCAGGCTTTTTCGATCGGGTGGATCGCTATAAGAAGGAACCCACTCGGGAGCAAAATGGTAAAGATGAAAAGCAATACGAGCTCAAGCAAGCATTTGTCACCCTACTATCCAAGTTGTTGAACCAGGATGGTATTTCTGTTATCACTGTTGCATATCTTAAGTTGTTAGAGACCGCCGGCGAGGTTGTTCAAATAAGACAATTCTTCAACAAATACTTCAAGGAGCAGGCATTCTCGTGGTCTGTCCAGTTTTGGAAGTTTTTCGTTGACTTTGAGGGATACAACCAGGTCAATTTGGTTAATTTGAGGAGCATCATCAACATTATCAAAGAGAAAACTGCTCTACCACAAAGAGCAGTCGAAGGCTTTCTCGAAATTTATCACGAGATTGTGCTTAAAAATCTCAAAACTGCTATACTCTTGAAGGGTCCTAACGGCGAAGATCTACACGACACACTCATTAATCTTGGTTTGGAGAAATCGCGTAGTCTTTCCACCAACAAGAGTGCAGCGAAGCGAATGGCGGCACACAATGCACACATCAAGGACTTGGAGGACCTGAAGAAATCGAGAAACTCGACCTCTCACTACTCGCCCTCCCTGGTTGATCGTGAGAAAGAATTTCAGAAATACGTCAAAAGTCATGTCTTCCATCCGGGCATCTTTCGTGAACTACCAGAGCAAACGCCACCTGCAACTGAAGCAAAGTTTATCTCATTACTTGATGATAATGTGCGTGTCCCTGAATTTCCTACTTTTAAAAATCTAGATAAAGCCAATGGGCCCGTGCATTACCCGGAGGAATGATCAAGCCAAGTCACCTTGACGACCAATAAGCAAAAGATCAGGCCTAACCTTTGCCCTTACTGTACACTTGTTGTCGCCAAAGACTTCGAGAATCGTGAGTCGTGAGCAAGAATCACTAAACTTGCTAGCCACTTCATCATCAAAACACCTAACGAATCCGATGTCAAGTCTCGTCAATAAAGGAAACTCAATCTGATTGTAGTAGTTTTGAATCTCATCCTCATTCTCAACGTTATCATTGACACCATCTTCAATAGCCTGTTTCAATAATCTCTTTGTCTTGGACTCATCGTTCGTCATTATCTGTATCAAGAAGTCCTTTGTCAAATTATCGAGCGAATTGAGCGAAACGTCCACCAATGTCAGCGATGAATGATTGAAGAGGGAGTAGATGGCTTTGTCTCCAAGCCCAGTGCATTTCGTCAAGTCAGCGGTAACTAAGCCACCACTATTAATCACAGCAAACTCATTAAAACCTTCAACAAACCCTTCATCTGTGAGCTGATTGACATGCCGCATGGAAATGTGCTCCAATCTTGGACAGAACTTCGATACACCTTCCTTGAAAAACTCGTCTGTAAGCGCACTGCAACCATCCACATTAAGGTACGTGAGCGATTCTCCTGTGATTGCTAAAATGTGTATCATAAGCTCGTCAGTGATGATATCAGTGCGGTGAGGATAAGATATTTCGAGTTCAGTCAACTGTGATGATCCAATGTAATGCGGTATAAGCTCATAGACTTCTGTACTGTCAAGACCATCAAGTCTCAGAAGTTTGAGCAGAGTTAGATGAGGACCTCTCTTCTCCATGAGCGTAAGAAATGCGTCGCTGCCAAAACGATGAGTGTTTCTGACTTCGAACTGGGTTATTTGACATTCAGCTTCTTCGAAGAAGTCCTGCCACATGGGGTTACTGATTAGGAAAGGACCATCCAAGCTCAACTTCGATAGATTTTGAAGCTTATCCTTGAAGTACACTAAATTGTCGTTGTGGAATTGACCGCACATGAAGAGTGTTAGTGACTCCAATTGAGAGCAAAAGGCCGCAATTTGGTTAAATGAATGGGACCCCACATTTGAGCAATCCCAGAATTCCAACTCCTTCAAGCTTGGATTCAAAAAAAGAGATACTGTGGAGTCGTCCAACGAACGGTTTTTCGACAAGATTCTCAGGATCTTGTTCATATTAGCCTGGCCAATGTCGCCCAAGGCCTCGACATCATTGATATTCTGGGTGATCACTTTGATACAGACGTCCTGTAACTTAGGAATCTTCACAGTCTTCTTGTCAAGAAGGGCGGATGCGAGAACCTTTCTTCTTTTTCTGGCATTAAGTTCGTTTCTTCTCGCGTTCTTTTCACGCTTTTTGAGCTCCTCATTACAGTCTTCACATAAGTAACCTTTCAAATCTTCAACGAAACGCGAGTAGACAGACAACGTGAATGGGTTGCCACACTCTGCGCACATATCCTCCTCACCATACTTCTTGTGGTTGTCCTCAAGATCGCCGTTGATATCAAGATCGTCTGCGTCAGAGTAGTCGTCATCATCGTCATCATCAGAGCTACCACTATCGCCATTAGGATCACCACGTGCGCTGCCATTCCTCATTCTTCTGTTTGCACGTCTCTTTTGTCTTCCTGCCACTCGTATCTGAAGTTCCTCTTCATCGGGAGAGGAACTCCTTCTAGCGCTTCTTTGCGGAGTTACAGAAGATCTTCGACTAGATGCAACAGGGGAGGATGTAGGTGATGCAGTATGTTCGTTTGTTCCCGATTCGCTCTCTTGACGCTGGCGATTTTGACGTTCTCTGAAGGCGTCAGTGATACCTTCATTCCTGAGAAACTCTGTAAGAGCAGAGTTAGGCCCACGTACGCCGGATGATCTGGGCTTGCGAGGCATTCGTGACAACTAGAGCGATATGATTTGGAAGAAGATTTTTCACTCTGGATCGTGTGTTGCTTCGATGGCGATGTCCTGCTGCACTGATAAAGTACGTGCATATGGTGCACGGATGTGACATAAAGACCCGAATTTCAGCAAATTAGCAAAAATCAATTTGACGTCGTAGGATGGAATTAGGTTCAGACTTATCCATCTAATGAAAACCATCTAAAATTTGTGTACCACAAAGTAGGTTTTGTTCATATCATGAGTCGGAATACCGAGCTTTGGTGCAGCCACCATGACACGCACAAAGTGGAGCATATCTGACTCATCAAGCTTCATGTTAGGGAGTGTAGAGTTTCAATCATTCGAGAATGAAACTGGCGAGCAATAGAGATCATTCCAAAAGCCACGGCCTTTCCTCCCAAAATGTGTCCTTGATAATGTCGACATGAAGTGTCTTGACTTGGGCCTTCTTGCGAGCTTTGGATACCCTCTGTTTCTGTCTCTCTGAAAGATCAGTCGTTGGTTGCAGCTCTTGGTATTCTCTCACAATCACTGTACCCTTCTTGAAGATTTCAGGCTCATTGTTGTAGTTGATCCCACACTTCGAGAAAAGTATCTCATTCTTATCGCTGGAAACAGTGCCCAGGAGGAAGTTCTCGGCCTCTTGTCCCGTCATGCCACATTTCTCGATCAAGCTCCAAAATGAGGTGTTATATAGGTTGTTGATATGGCAGTCAACCTGACGCCAGGAGAAGTAATCTCGTACTGTTTGTGCATTGGGATAAACAACAGCCCGAGCATCGAAAGTAGGGAGTCTCTCCATCACAATCGGCTTGTCAGCAAACTCTAAATTCCATTCCATCACATAGTAAACCAGCATAAACAGAGCAAATGTGGAGACCAACTTCATCTCTCTCCGCTCAAACAAGTCACAAGTTCGCCTTAGAAGGAACAGATACTCGTCTGAATCACCATAGGCCATTTGGATATCGGGAAATTGCTTCACAATGGCCAAAGCTGCACGGTTCATCACATTGAGTGCCCTAATATCATTAGGCTTCTCAAATTCATAGTGGGAGCTGAATTTGTGAAAACCTTTTCCATCGACACGAATCACAATGTGTGTCTGCGGTAGGAGAAAGTTTTCCCTTTCGAATTGCTTAACATATTCGAATCTGGAGTTAGCCATAGTTAGAGTTATGTAAGGAATAATAAGCGGTTAACAGCGATGGAGGTCACGTGCAGAAGTCCCCATAGTATAGATGGTCTAGCAGGGAGGTAAACTTCCAGGGTAGATGTATATGATGTATTTTAGCCACATTCTCCTTTTAAACCGAGTAATTGACTCCTACCACCCTAAAGAACTGTATGGTCTCTACATTATTTCGCTCACGTATGCATTATGTATGGTATAAAATCTAGTGTATAATTAAGGTTAGCGCATCAGTGCTTCTTGGACTTGGAAGACTTTGGAACTCTCGCAAGCCAGTAGAAGAAAATGGTAGCAAGCATGTTGATGGCAATGAAAGAAATGAAAATACCAAAGTTTCTCCATCTCTCAGAGTAACGCGCCTCAACGGACTCCAAGAAGGTGTTAGTCGAGGACATGAGGCAGAAGCGGCACTGTTCAGTAGCACTCTCGTCAACCAAATAGCCACCGGCGGCTTGAATGTATGGCTGCATGTACTCACCACAGGTTTGTCCCAGTGGAGGCTCAAACACACTGTATTCTCTCTCGGCACAAGTGATTTTGTTGTTGGCAAGACCACTAGTCAACATACCCTGAACCAAGTATGTGAATGGGTTACATCTGTACATGAAAATCCAGAAACCAGGCAAAGCGTCTGGGCCGGCAAGAACACCACAGAAGTTCAAACACATAATGAACATCAAGTTAGCCAAGTTAGCAGCATTGTCAGCGATCTCCTGGAAGGAAATCACAAATTGACCCAAAGTGATAGCATAAACATAGAAGGCAGACATCAACAACCACATAAGAGCACCACGCTCATTCACGGTGTCAGTTGGCTCAGCGTTGGTGTACATACCAGTTGGGTAGTACCAACAGAAGAAAGCGACAGTACCAAGAATAGCCTGGAAAGGAACCTCTGCAGTGATCTGAGAGGCAATGAAAGCAAACCAACTGAAAGTTCTTGATGGCTGCTCTCTCACCTCGTAAATTTCTCTCTGCATAACATAGTATGGCATCATCTGTTGAATCAAGGTCTGCAATGGAATGAAGGACATGAAAATCGAGAACATCTGGTTCTGCAAGCCCTGTTGAGAGTTGCTGTTTTTGAAGAAAGCAAAACCGTTGAACAAAGACGAGGTGATAACCAAAAAGAACTTGGAGTAGATGTAGCCAGGGGTTCTCCAGTATTGCTGGAAGGTTCTCCAAGTGACAATGAAGTACTGGTAAACAACTGGAGCAGCATACTTCTTCTTAGATTCAGGATCTTCATCTTGAGGCAACTTGCTCAATTCAGTCTCCATGTGGGCCAATTCCTTCTGGACCTCCTGGTAGTGTTGCGAGTTTCTCCAGACTTCGAAGTAGTCCTGAGCTGCCTTGGAACCGGGAGCAGCACCGACAACCTCCAACATCCATTCAGCAGGGTTTGCATCCTTAGGACAAGGGTGAGCTCCGTGGCTTTCAAAGTAGTCAATCAAGCCCTGACAGTTCTCGCCCAAATCACCGAAGTAAACGGTCTTACCACCCTTTTGCAAAAACAACAAACGGTCAAACTCCTGAAGCAAAATGGCCGAAGGCTGGTGAATAGTACACAAAATAGCCTGGCCGTGATCAGCCAACTTTCTCATCAACTTACAGATAGACCAAGCAGTTTGGGAGTCCAAACCGGAAGTGGGCTCATCCAAGAAAAGCAACAACTTAGGCTTAGCAACCAACTCGACACCAATAGTCAATCTCTTACGCTGCTCGACGTTCAAACCTTCACCGGCAACACCGACCAAAGCATCAGAATAGTTGGTCATTTCCAACAAGTCAATGACGTAGTCAACATAAGCATCCTTGTCCTTCTTTGAGACGTGCGATGGTTGTCTCAAGTAGGCAGAGAATGTCAAAGCCTCACGCACAGTAGAAGTAGCCAAGTGAATATCTTGCTGTTGCACGTAACCAATGGATCTTTGGAAAGAAGAGTCCAAACCGTGACCATTCACCATTCTGGTACCATCAGTGACTGTACCGGTGGTAACACGCTCGGACAAACAGTTCAACAAAGTAGTCTTACCAGCACCAGATGCACCCATCAAGGCGGTAATCTGGCCAGGCTTGACCCATCCGTCGACATGGTTCAAAATAACACGTTGTTCAGACTTGATCTTGACCTGGTAAGTCAAATCCTTCCAGTGGAAGATTTGTTTCTGGCTTGGGACCTTATCGTCGTAAGCAGAAGAGTTACCAGAACCATCCTTCTCCATAGCATCAGAGTAGGAAATCTTCTCATTTGGCAAGTTGTTCTCAATATCGTTCGAAACAGCCTTCAGCTGCTCCTTTTGCTTTCTGACCTTCTTCAAGGAGCCCTTCAAGAAAAGAATAATCTCACCCTTCTGCATAGCACCCTTGTTGAATTCAGTCAAGGCAATGTAAACAAACAAGAAAACGACAATGTAAGCAATAACAATACCCATGTTTCTCCACTTGTGGCTGTTGAAGTACTCGAAAGAAACAGCCAAGTATTCAGTACCACTTACAGTGGCTCTACCAGCTTCAGCACCTTGAGTAGTGCAGACACGGTTGACAAATGGAAGACTGTCATAATCACCACCGGTTGGAACGAACTGAGAGCACTCAAATTCACGGTCGTAGAATTCGTTAACCATCAAAGACTCGAAGACGTAGGACACAGGGTTGATGTACTGAATCCATCTGCACCAGCCCAACATCGATGGAATTGGGATAACGAAACCAGTGAAAATAATCATGGCCAACAAAATGGAGGTAGCAGGAGTCATGGCACCAGCAAGGGAAGTCGAAACAGCACCCAAGGATCTGAACATGTGCGACATACACAAGGTACAGAGACTACAGAACAACCAGTAGAAGAAGAATCTTCCGGGGTCACGTCTGAAGTGAACCATAAAGTAGAAGGAAAAGTTGAAACAGACGGACATACAAGCTTTGACTGGGAGTTCTGAAATGATGGATGCAAGGGCGTCGGCAGAAGGTCTGTACATGGCGTACTTCTTGTGCTTCTCGACAATAGGACGGGCTTCGAACAAGGACATGATCTCCAACAAGGAGGCAAAGGCATTAAACAAGACAGCGAAGAACATAGCAGCTCCACGGTAGTAGAAAGAGCCGGTCGTCGGCTGTAAATTGTAAAAGACGGACGATAGAATCAAACCCATCACACCCTGACCGAAGACCGAAAATATGACAATCGACGGATCTCCCTTCATACGAAGGAAATTTCGGCCCACAATGTACCTCGTTTGCATAAAGAAGGAAACAGTGTATGGAGAGCTTGGGGAAATGTGCTTGGATTGTTTGGCAACGTGTGCCTCGCGGTAGGTCTCCCTCTGGGAGCCATCAGCAGTGTCAGCGAGATACTGGTCGATCTTGCCCACGAGAGCAGTGTATTGTGGGGAGCTGCGCCAGTAGTCGGAAAACTCCTTGGCGGTACGAGGAACCTTGTTTTCAAAACCTGGTCTGACGATACGCTCTTCTGGGTTGGTCAAAGAGGTCAAGTAGTCAGCAGTGGTTTGACGCTGAGGACAGTCGTAACCCATGTCCAAGAAGAACTGCTTAGCCTCGCTGGCCTTACCGAAGAAGATCTGGTAACCCTCGTACAAGACAACGACGTTGTCGAACAAGTCGTAAGCGTCCTGAGAACACTGGTAAATAGCAATCAATGGAGTAGCGTCCAAGATGGCAGCAGAGGTCTTCAAGGCACGGATAAACTCCAAAGCGGTGGCAGCATCCAAACCTCTGGTGGCGTTATCCCAACACTGGATGTTGGCACCAGACAAGGAAACCTCAGCAATGGAAACACGCTTACGCTCACCACCCGAGACACCACGGACGAAATCGTTACCGACAGCGGTGTTTCTGGTATGGGACAAACCGTAGGTGGCCATCATGACGGAGGCCATGTGTCTGGCGTGGTCCTCTCTGGAAACCTCACCTCTGTTTTGTGGGGTTCTCAATCTTGCAGCAAACTCTAAAGTGTGGCCCACACTCAAGTGAGGGAAATGCACATCGGTCTCAGCCGAGTAGATCACGTCACCACGGTGGTGTTTTTCAATTTCGGCTGGGGACATACCGTCGTAAGAGATTTGCAGCTCCTGGCCGATTTCAAAACCGTAAGTGTTGGCGGCGATGGTTTTTAGCAAAGTCGAACAACCGGAACCGGGACGGCCCAAAACGACCGTGACTTCACCGGGGCGGTAGTAACCGTCCATGGACTTCAAGATATCGAAACAACGGCTCTCGTCCATTTTACGCGAGTTGTGCCAGAAGTCGGTGGCCATCTTCCACAAACCATTGGTCACTGTGGGCTGGTAGTCAGAGTCTGCTGCCACACCGTATGCACGCAAGTTACGGTAGGCCACACCCAACTTCAGCGGCTTGTAGTATTCAGGGTCGCTGTCGAACAATTTACGCATGTTCTTGACCCAGAACTTGGCGTTAAAGTTCTCGCTGTCTGGGTTCAACAGCTCGTTGATCTGTTCGGGGTTGAAAGGCTCCACACCGGGCACCTCAGACATGTGGGAAAGATATTTCAACAAATCGGCAGAAGAGCCTCTTCTGGCAAGCTCACCGCTGCCCTGGGAAATGTTTGTAAGGGTTCTGGCCAACTCTCTAATCTGGCCCTCTTGGTTTTCGCCAAAGCCAGTGTACTCATTGACGGAGTCCACCTCATCGTCGAGGGTAGTCCTGACGGGAGGAGGCGCCACCGATGGGTCCGCTGGCGGAGCGTCATGGAATTGCTGTTTTTCGTCGGGAGCAGACATGACGATGACGAAAAAACAGGGAACTCTGGGCGTTAAATACTGAAAAGAAAATAGAGCAAATGCCGCAGCCAAAGCAGAGAAATGGGTGCAGGCGCAGCGCATGAGATAGGAAGCACGGGCATGGGACGGGTGGCGGAACCTGGATGTTCCGAACAATAACAAAAGCCGCCGCGAGTTATACGAAGAAGAAGGGCGGCATAGGGGAGACAATATCTAGAGAAATCAGAATTCTCAATTGATTAAGGGGCCGTTCCGCTTTGTGGTGGAGCCTTTTTGGGGTGGGATCTTGTTTCTTCAGTTGCGTAATTTCACCTTACCGTTTCTTCACGGCGCTAGTGTTATGGCTTGAGCGAGGCTGTTGCGGTCAAAGTCAAATTCGCACAAATTCCAAGCGCACACTTGCACTACCCTATGGCTCAGAATTACTCATCGCGCAAAAAACGGTTCCGGGATGCCAATGTTCGTGGCACCCGGGCCCCGCTTATTAATAGTGGGAGGTTGTTTTTTTTTCTTGATGCGCTCTTGCAAGCATCGGTGCATTCAGGATTCGCAAGAATTCTGGTTTCCACTTGCTGGCATGGTGGCGTTTGCGTGTGCTTTTTTAGCCCGTTTTGCACCCAATCTCTCCACCAACCCTCCTCAATCCCACAACCCCGCTGGCCCCGCCGCCAACAAATTATCCGTTGCTGTCAAAACGATATTTTTTATTGCCTTTTGAAGTCTATATAATTTCTACCTTTTTTTCTTCAAAACTGGTCTTCGGCTTCGGCCATTTGGCGGACCCGGAAGTGGAGCGTCTCCGAGAACCCGTAATAGCCCTCCCTACAGCAGGCTCAGCCGTCTAGATTGTCCGGGCTCGCCAACACATTTGGACCCAGGGCACCCGTGCTTGCCGGCCGCCACCTATTGTTCAAATAGCGAAATTCGTAAAAAACGGTTCCGGTTCTCCCGTTCGGTGCTACCCCCAAAATTTACCCCAGCCCAAACAGCGCCATTCCGTTCACGCATGGGTTTCGCAGCCAGCGGCAAACGCTCGTTTAGAGACAGACGGCTTGCAATGAGGCGGTGTGATAACGTTTGGTGCCAGGGGGTTAGCGAAGCAAGCGTGGTTGTTTCTTTTTGAGAGTGTCAGTTCTTTTCAATTTCTGTCCTTCTTTTTTGTAGACGAGTATTGTGCTCGGAAAATGGCCCCATTGGGGGCACGGCTGAAAGCAATCATTCCGTAACTACTGCGGCCGGCTCCCATTGACCCAAACAGGCAACGTTGAGGCTTTGCGGGGGCCGAAATGTTCCGGAAAATGACATATTGTTTATGTTTTTCGGGGCTAAAAAACATCCGGAACTTTTGGATGCTGGTCACTGCTTGAGCGCCGCTGGCCCGGATGGTCCATGGCTGCGAAATTATCCGACCTCCCGGGTTGTGGCTGGTACCACTTGCAGGTCCAATACAACCTTTCCTTTTTTTTTCAATGGCCTCTAAAGAAGGCGTAGCTTTTCGGGTGTAGCTTCTACAAATTATGTGCTACACCTTGTGCTGCAGTGGCTTGATGAAAATTAAGGTTTGGTGTTACGAGATCGTACCGTAAAGCTTATGTTGTCTGCGTGGATGGTGAGATCCATGAATGAGGTCTCAGGGGTCTTCGGGTGGGGCGCTTTCAGAGAGGCTCTAGCCTGGGGAAAACGGTGAGACTAGATGTGGTGATTAACACTGCCGATCTTTCGTGATAAGGGAAGCCGTGAGTGGCAGTGAATGGCCTTGAATGATTAGGCATGGATGAGGGCCGCATTGACTGGATTGGAGTTTCTTGAGTCAGATCGATCACTAGAGGATTCAACCAAGGGATTTACATTTCCTGAGTATTTAGCCGGATTGCTTCTGTTGACAGCATCCTGTGGATGTGAGCATAGGGTGCAATCCTCAATGTAGCACACGAGCACTATAGACTTGGAATCATGTTTTGCCGAACATTGCAATTGCACAAGACGGTTTGACAAGACCCACTGGCGAAATAGTGTTCATTTCATTTCTTTTCTTGTATCAATTGTAAAAGCTGACGGCGTATACCAACGATAAGATGTCCACATAGCACAGCTACTTGACAGAGTTCGAAATGTTACTCGAATAATTCAATTTATGAATTATGATAAGTTCGTTGTCTACATTGATGAAGGCTTTGTGGTACTTCCCAAAGGTGGATGATAGCTCAATGACACCTCTGTGCAAGTGGACGTGTTATCATTTCCTTTATAATCTGAAACGACCAGTGAGTTTACTGAAATGCAGTTGCAAATATAACCATTTATCACTTCAAAGACCACTACGTCACTCCTGATTTTTCAACCGGCTGGTGGTTGCAAATGTTTTGCGTGTACTGCACCTTTCTCTAAGACTCTCACTACCAAATCTAGTGTTCACCACAAAGCCATATCGCAATGCAAGTTAAGGTGAAAACATTGACAGGCAGAGACATCCCAGTGGATGTTGAGGCCAGCGACAAGGTCATCCGTATCAAGGAGATGATGGAGGAGAAAGAAGGCATCCCTCCAGCACAGCAACGATTGATTTTCAATGGTTCTCAGTTGAACGACGAGATCACCATCGAAGAATCTGGCATCCAGGCTGGTGCCTCATTGCATTTGGTCTTGACCCTTAGAGGCGGCCACTAGGGACGTTGGGTTTGAATATCGACCCGATCCGTGCGTCTGACATAGTTTAATGGAAATGAATCATCTGACACACAAAACGTCTAGGATCCGTCAGAGTCTGCTTTCGATGCCCATTTCTTAGCGTTGGCGAGGAACTTATTGATGTTTGGAGCCTCTTGAGGAAAGACCCACTCCACATAAGCTTCTTCGCCGTGTTCGGTGGGTCTCCGTTTGGTGACCGCAGTGGGGAATCGCTTCTGGACTTTTTCGACGGATTCTGGATCGCCATGCGCCTCCTCGTAGCGTTTCCAAGCCTCAAGAACCGTGCTGCAGTTTGCGCCTTCGTTAAGGTCCTTGAAGTGGTTAGCTGCTTCGGTAAAGATTGCGCGTGTCTGGTTCTTTTGGTGATCCTCGAGCCCGAACTCGACTCTGTCTGAATTCTCGAGACTTTCGAGCTGCTCAGGTGAAAGGATACTCAGCTCAAAATTAGCGAACTCGATCCAAAGCAGTGGTGAGGATTTTTCACTAATCTGTCGCCTGAACACATCTCTCGCACGGTCATATAGAAACTCATCTTTGAGAAGATCAATGTAAGACGTAAAAAGCTCATTGTAAGGGTTGAACTGTGCAAGTTTTTCGGTACTTTGCGTATGAGTATTCAAGGCCATCTCATATAAAGCAATGCATCTGTCTAGTTCTGCAAATTCGAGTTCCTTTTGAACAAAGTCCTTCAACACTTTTAGGGCACTGTGACTCTCAGGGTTCTCAGAATCAATCATAAGAGCCACCTCTATCCACTTTGAGTAAAGTGAGCGAACCCTTTGCCATTCGTTAAGCTTAGTCTCTAATTCAATGTAGAATTTGAAGATCTTGTTCTTCAAGGTCGTGTTGCTAGTCAAGCCAATTGCCTTACCTAAAAGCTTCCTAGCAACTGCCAAACCACTCTCCTCATTGTTTCGGATTTCGAATTGCGCAGCCATAATCCATATCTTGGAAAATGTGAATGATTTGTGCGGTATGATTGCAATCACATTATCCCAGCATTTACGGGCCCTCTCGTTGTCTTTATTGCTGAATTCTTCCCACAATGCAAACTTTATCCAAAGAAAAACATAGCGCCTCCATTGAAGCAGCTTATATTGTTCTTCGGGGTGGGTGGATACACTTCTCTCGAATAGACTTCTCAATGTCTCCACAGACAGATCTCCCTCTAGTTTGATGTAATCCCACCACGCAGAGTAGTCTTTGGGGTTTTTAAAAAGCTCCAGCTCACGTTGGGCTTTTCGCTTCATGGTCGCCGATCTGTCAGCCAGTGACCTATCACTATACCTGGATTGAAACTCGAAGAGTAGCTTCGACATTCTTTGTTCACCTTCCGTCAGAGGAAGAAACTCGGAAATCATCGAGATTATCTGCTTACCTCTATCAACCTCACCCTGAGAGGCCTCCCAGGCTGCCCAGCGCAGAATAAGCTGATCAACGCTTTCGTCGGTGTAAATTGATCCATCTTCAGCCATGCTATCTAGAGCGGACTCAAAAACTCCACGTATGCGTGCCGCCAGATGCTCGTTCAATGGAACCTGGAGACGCTCAAATTCGGCCCACTCTAACCAAGTTTCTCCCTCGCGGTATTCGGCCAAATATCTCGGGAATAATGCTCTGGCATTGTCGTACTCGTCGTATCTCCTCTCGAATCCTATATAGGATTGCCATACAGGTTTGGCAGGCTTCCAGGAGACCCATCTTTCAAAAAGAGATCGAACTGAGTTGTAATTGCTGAGAGCTTCCTCAGTTTGAACGTACATGTACCAAAGCTTATCGGTGTAAGGAAGGGTAGTCACAGCACGATCTAGAAGATTTCTGGCATGATTGACATTTCGATGAAGGAGTTCCATTTCCACGTAACGGACCCAGAATGGAATGTGTTGGACATTGACTTGAAGAGCCCTCTCCATAATAGACCTGAATCTCTTAAAGTCATGATTGTGATCTATCTCCCATTTGGCATACCTTATCCATTGGCCATAATTTAGACGATTTTTGTTCAAATGCTGTTCATACTCCCTGCGTTTCGCTTGTTGAAACAGATGTAGCTCCTCAAGATCTTGTATGGTCTGCTTGGACGCTTTGAATGGGGTCAGTTTTAGCTGATGAGCCTCCAGAAGAATGTCAGCAGAAGAAACTTGAACTTCGGCGGCCTTTCCGGTCGGCTGTTGTGTTGCATCAGTAGCTAGATTGGGCGGTAGTTGGAGCTCCATGGAATATCTGTGATAAAATGAATGTAATGTGATGAGATGATGAATTTAGATGGAGTGCAAAAAATATGGACTGTATAGTGCCTTCAGCCAGATTCGAACTGACGATCTCCTCATTACTAGTGAGGTGCCTTACCAACTTGGCCATAAAGGCTTACAATTGAGAATTTGGTGTACAGGTCCAATAAATCAAGTGGACGTGCGGGCTCAAAACGATCGCTGAAATTTTTAATTTCGCCCAGTTTTTACTTTTCACTTTAAATAAACGTTTTATGACTATTCTGAGGCCTAAAAACGTGAACTCAGGATTTTATGGGCAATGCAAAATTGTACTTCGTGGTACCATCAATTCATTGAAATCAACATAAATCCCACCCACACGTACATGACGTTTTCATGGAATCTGCTTCCCAAATCTGCTACAGATCTACAGTATAGAAGGTTTCTCTATATCATGCATTCGTAATAAATAAGCCCATAAATTATGCCCATACCTGAAGCTGCTCGTAATAATCCACCCGTACTTTGCTGCTATCGATAGCCTGAACCACCTCATGTCTAAGGTCATCAACCATTATTGGGTGTCCACAGGTCACAAAGCAGCAGCTACCCTGACTAGAATCCACATTCTCCAGTACTATCTTTTCCACGTCAGGTCTTCCTTCGTGAAATTGTATATGCCCCAAATCTTCCTTTAGCTTGCCAATTGGATCCTTGATATGATGTGTCATGCTGTAGTGAGCATATGTATTTTCAAGTAGTGGCAGCTTATCATCAGGATTTGTTAACGTGGCCAGTGGCCTCGTGACATAGATTTCCGTCTCGATCGGGAACTGCTTCAAAGAAGCAAGTTCCTCGAAAAACCACAAAATCGACTGATACTCTCTCACTACCCAAATAAGCTTCACTCTTCTCTTGCTAAACTGTGGATGTTTCTCAATCACCTCAACAGCCTCAGCTAAAATTCCTGGTATACCGTTGCCTCCAGCCAAGAACACGCTCGTATCATGCTTATAAGCTGGGGTGGCCTCTCCGTAAGAGCCCTCGACAGCAACCCTAATCTTGGCTGACTTGTCCGGATGTTCCTCAAGCCAGGTAGCCAAGTCACGAGTAACGCCAGTCTTCACCTTCACGTAGAAGATGATGTTATCACCCACAAGGGTATAAGTGAATGGGTGAGACTGCCAGAAACACGAAGGACGAAGAAAGTGAACAAAGCAATGGCCACCGCCCTCCGCATTGAAATTCTTTGGAAGCGGGACACTCACCTTGAGCGTCTCGTCCTCGTAAAGTTTCACATCTGCCATGGGGAATCCAAAATAAGCGAGTCTTTGGATCCTGAGTAGACGATCTGTTGCCCAGAGCCATGCGGAGAAGTAGTAGTACCAAAGAAAGTAAAGATCATCCACATGGAACCAAGCACCAAGTGCAAACACAAAGGCCAAGACAATGTGAAGAAGGAGGAATGTTTCGTACCACCTACGCCTCAACACCAAGAGGCCTTGAACCAAAATACCAATACCGCATGTGTATGCTGCGGCTCCCCATATCAAGTATGGCTCAATCTTAAAATTTGGCTTCTCCCTGATCACATAAGCGTAGCCAACGGCGTGGATGATCAATAAGACCATCATGATTCTGGATATCCACCGGTGTAACGTAACGAAAGCGGCGTATTCCCAGCGGGTGAGCCACTGGAGAATGTTGTTACGACCGGCGAACAATATGGAGAAAGGGAATAAATAACTTGCTAGAACACCCGATCTCACGGCGTAGTACCGACCAAGTGCACGGTCCTTTCTCTTGAAGATCGGGTCATTTTCAACATACCTGATCTCAGCAAAGAAATAGTAGGTTGTCAAGGCCGTGAAAGCAACTAGCGTGATGGTCTCTAGTCTTGTTGGTGAAAGGAAATCAAGAAACTTGAGGAATTGCTTCTCATTCGTCTTGTACCTACTGAACGTGGCAGGAAGAGTGATCTTCTTTCTAATCCAGTTGACAGCAGGAGTGTTGGCTTTCTGACTGAGTTTTGGGAACCAGATCTTCAGCCAATTTGCAAGACCAATCATGACGAAGAAGACTGCCCAGAACCCCACCAAGTAGAAGCCGAAACTGATAGAGCGGTTGTAATTGCCCAAGAACTGGTCGTAGGATGCCTTGAACTTAAAGATCACTCGATCGTCAAGCTTCACGGGATGATCAATGTTCTGAGGAGCCTTGGAGTCCCCCACGGATTCACCTTGTGCCTCCCTCTCGTATAGCAAGTTAGCCTCGTCGAACTGCTGTCGCGTGAGATTGACATTCATTTGCGTGTTACACTTTTCCACGAATGAGTCGGCAAATTCAGGATATGCTGTGAAGTAACAGTGGGACATGGTTGCCAAAGCGTTTATGTTGGTACACATGCAAAGGTCGTTCTCTGGCGTATAGATCTCATCAAGATCACAAAAGTTGATAGAACGCACGTGTGTGCTGCAACTGATGTACGCAATCTCTGTTGTGGAGTATCTGTGGAACGGAGCACTCTGAAGAGCCTTTTCTGGGGTCATGGTCACAAAAAGGGCCGTGAGACATGTTAGTAGGAGAGCCATGGCGGTTCTTGTGTAGATCGGCAGCTTCCCCCTTGGATATAGAAAGAAGGCCGCCAAGGCGAACAACAGGAGGTTTACCCAAAACATGGGAGGTTGTGGATTAGGGAATGGGCAGGGGGAATGGAGCGGTTTATATGAGAAAAAATTATCTTTTCCATCAATGAGTTCCGAGGGC